CAGGGGCTGTCCATGATTTTATGCGCTCATCTTGTGAAGTGTGGTGGACCGTAAGCAGGGCGGCCACTTGTGAACCTCACCTATTTACCTCGCCCCTTTGTCCTATACCTCCTCCCTGACACCGATTTCCCCCTGTCTTTTATCATAGACCTTTTTAAATATATGATAGCATGTTGCACAGAGACAGACCCCCTATATTTCTACCTCTTCTCCGTCTGTGCTCATCAGTGTGTTACGGTAGTCTTTTAGCTGAAGGTTTTAAATGGGGGTGAATCTACTCTATGCCTGGTGTAGTACGGTACTTGAATTCCCACTCATTTGTAAATTAGCCCTGATGAGCTGTGCAGGTTTCATTAATCAACCTTAAGTGATAAACCAATCAGCAGCCGGCTAGTTGGCCAATCAACTCCCCCCCACCCCCTCCTGGTAGAATGAACGGCTCTCTTTTAACCCCACCTAGCCCGCGGGCAGCCAACTCCTCCCCCCTGCCCCCGTCACCCTCCCCCTCTCTGTCCCCTCCGTCCCCCTCCCTGTTGCCCCTGTTCCCTCGGCCACCCCCCCTGCCCCCTCCCTTGGCCCCTCCCCTGGCCCAGCCTCACCCCTCCTCGCTGTCGGACACCCCCACGCCCTCCCCCTGCCTGAGCTGGACGGAGTTCTGTGAGCTGCATGCCCGCATGGCGGCCGGGGACTTTGCCCGCCACTTCCGGGCGTTCCTCCTGGAGAACCCGCACTACTCCCCCGACTCTGCTGCCGCCTTCTGTCGCCGTTTCACTGACCGCTTTGTCCGCCATTTCCAGAGCGAACTGGAGGGGGTGGCAGGGGCGCCGGGTACAGCCCCCAGAATGGAGGCGGGGAGCTGGGCTCCCCAATCAGACGCCACCTCCCTGGAAGAGGAGGCGGTCTCTCCCCCTCCTGTCGCCGAGGGAGCCTCCTACCACCCCTGTGCCCCAGCCAACCCGGTGCGAGCCCTGCCCAAGCCTGCCTCCACACGGCTGGTGTTGGAAACCCGAAGTGGGGACCAATTTCAAGACTCCTATGCTGTCACAACGGTCCTCCCCCCATCCTCCTCCTCCTCCTGTTCCTCCTCAGTGGGAGGAGGAAACAACGGCAGGCGGGAAGAGAGGGGTGCCCTGGTTACTGTTAAACACTTCCCTGGTGTCGGCCCGGGCAATGGAGAAACGACGGCCGAGGAAGAGGAGGATAGTTGGGCGGGCGTAACGGTCATGGGGGAGGAGGGGGAGCCAGATGAGGGGGAGGCGGAACTGGAAGTTTGCTTGGACAATGAAGACCCCTCCCACATGCCCCAAACGCCTGCCTCCCCTTGCTCCGACACATCCCCTCCCAGCTCCAAGGGTAACGGCACCACGGCCTCGGCAGGAAGCCAGTCCAAAACCAAACTGAAGAAGCGCTTCTCTCTGCGGAGTGTTGGGCGCAGCGTGCGGGGCAGTGTCCGGGGCATCCTGCACTGGCGCAGCTCATCCAGCGACTCCCCCCAGAGCTCCTCCCAGCTGCCCTCCAGCTACAGCTACACCATGGGGGTCCAGGACGCTGCCGCTGGCTCTTCCTCCAAGAGGATCTCTGGCACCCAGCCCCCCACGCCCACCTCCTCCATGCCTGTCTCCCTCTCCCTGCCCCTCTCCCTCCCCCACTCCTCCTCCTCCTCCCTGCCCCCGTCTTCCTCCAGCAGTGCCACCTCCCTCTCGCTATCGGAGGCGCGGGACCGCCGGCGGAGCAATGGCGAGGGGGGAGAGAAGGAGAAGTGGAGCCACCGGCTGGAAAAGCTGCGTCTGTCTCGCTCCCCACCCCCCGTTCTCTCCTCGGCGCCCACTTCGGCCGTGGTGTCGCCTTTCTCCGGCCTGCCCCCCAGCAGCAGCAGCAGTGCCACCCCGAGGAAGACGGGCCGGCTGGTGAGGGAGGGAGGAGTCAGCGTCAGCTCCTCCATGCCAGATGAGTTTGCCGGGAGCCACGGTGGTTTCCCTGGCTTTTCCTTCGGCCTGCTGCACCACGGCACACAAGAACACAACAACGCTGGCACCGGCTTAAACAACACCTCGTCCACCGCTAACGCCGCTCAGACAGCTGCAGTACAGCCTCTCGTCCCCGGGGGCACTGTGGGCTGGAGGGGTGGTCGGTGGCACAAGTGCCGACTGGTCCTGAGGGAGAGGGACAAAGAGGGGGAGCGGGGCGAGGAGTACTATCTGGAGTTCTTCATTCCGCCTAAAGTGAGTGAGAGACCTCAATATTAGGAAGGTGTTCTTAATGTTTGGTATACTCGGTGTGTATATAGCTGCCAAAAAAAATCAAATTTGATAATGATACATTTAATAATACATTTGAAATATTATTTTTATGTGAACATAATCAATGATGAAATTTAAATGCAAAACTCCAGTTTGCATTTTCAAATTGACAGTTTTTGTTTAATGCCCTACCAGATAACACTGCTATATTGAGAAAGAAAATTATTGGAAGATAAAGTTCACATTTGTAATTGTACTACATTGTGATCGCATTATTTGTGACAAAAAGAAGATGAAAACTTAATGTGCAATTTAACAATGATTATTCTTAGCCTACAAAATACAACATTTTAATTAAAATCCTTATTGGGTAAAACTATTTTGCTGAGGAGTATTTCTGTCTTTAATAAAGCCCTTTTGTGGGGAAAAACTCATTCTGATTGGTTGGGCCTGGCTCCCCAGTGGGTAAGCCTATGCCCACCCGTGGCGGCACCCTGCCCAGTCATGTGAAATCCATAGATTAGGGCCTATTGAATTTATTTCCGTTGACTGATTTACTTATATGAACTGTAACTCAGTAAAATATTTGAAATTGTTGCATGTTACGTTTATATTTGTGTTCAGTGTAGTTGTGTTCTGTCCAAAATATTGATTCCCCCGTTAAGAAACAGTGTAGAATTGCAGGATAAAAAAACAAAAAACATGCAACACTTTTCTGGGGGGGGGGTGCGGCGGCATCAGAGTAGATTGTGTATCCTTGATATAACACTGAGAGGCATGAGAACCTGTCAACATGCTCCTTTGGAATGCTTGGAAATTAATTATGTCATTGGCGGGCATTGTGACAATTCCATAATGTGAAAATTGCACCATTTCTCTGAGCGCACAGATGGTGTCTTATTCAATGGTCTTCTCTGTCCCCCTGTCTCTCAGTCCTCTAAGCCCAGGCTAACTATCCCATGCTGCTCTATTGTGGATGTGAGGAGCACCACAGCCCTGGAGGTGCCTGACAAGGAGAACACCTTCCTCCTGCAGGTAACACTGCTCTGCTCTGTCCATCCTTTCATTTCCCCTATTTATTTATTTTTGTTCTCTCTCAGTTCATTTCGTTCAGGTAGTCAGCTCCTGTTCAGCTTGCATCTGTAGACTGAATTGTATTTCTCTCTCTCTCCCCCTCTCTCCCCCCCCCCCCCCCCCCCTTTCTCTCTCTCTCTCCCTCTTTCTCTCACTCTCTCTCTCATGCCCTCTCTCGCACTCTCTCGCTCTCACTCTCTCTCTTTCTCTCACCCCTCTCTCACGCACTCTCTCTCTCATGCCCTCTCTCGCACTGTCTCGCTCTCACTCTCTCTCTTTCTCTCACCCCTCTCTCTCACCCCTCTCTCACGCACTCTCTCGACCCCTCTCTCACCCCCCCTCTCTCACGCACTCTCTCGCCCCCTCTCTCTGTCGCCTCCTTTCTCACTCTTTCCCTCTATCGCTCTCTCTAACCCTATCTTTCTCTCTGTCAGTTGGAGGGACAGGTGCAGTATGTGATTGAGACGCGAGATGCTGTGCAGATGAGAGCCTGGTTGAGTGACATCAGGAACGGTATATGTATCAGGTAAGCAAATTGTGTGTTAAGTAATACATGTAACACATTAGTTTTCTTTCAAGTCAGTGATTAGGGAGGGAGGAGCAGTGAGTGAGAGTTAAGAGGGACCATATACAGTTGAAGTAGGAAGTTTACATACACTTAGGTTGGAGTCATTAAAACTTGTTTTTCAACCACTCCACAAATGTATTGTTAACAAACTATAGTTTTGGCAAGTCAGTTAGGACATCTACTTTGTGCATGACACAAGTAATTTTTCCAACAATTGTTTACAGACATATTATTTCACTTATAATTCACTGTATCACAATTCCAGTGGGTCAGAAGTTTACATACACTAAGTTGACTGTGCCTTTAAACAGCTTGGAAAATTCCAGAAAATGATGTCATGGCTTTAGAAGCTTCTGATACAGGTACCAAAGTATCTACAGTAAAATTAGTCCTATATCGACATAACCTGAAAAGGCCGCTCAGCAAGGAAGAAGCCACTGCTCCAAAACCGCCATAAAAAAGCCAGACTACGGTTTGCAACTACACATGGGGACAAAGATCTGACTTTTTGGAGCAATGTCCTCTGGTCTGATGAAACAAAAATAGAACTGTTTGGCCATAATGACCATCGTTATGGTTGGAGGAAAAAGGGGGTTGCTTGCAAGCCGAAGAACACCATCCCAACCGTGAAGCACAGGGGTGGCAGCATCATGCTGTGGAGGTGCTTTGCTGCAGGAGGGACTGGTGCACTTCACAAAATAGATGGCATCATGAGGAAGGAAAATGATGTGGATATATTGAAGCAACATCTCAAGACATCAGTCAGGAAGTTAAAGCTTGGTCGCAAATGGGTCTTACAAATGGACAATGACCCCAAGCATACTTCCAAAGTTGTGGCAAAATGGCTTAAGGACAACAAAGTCAAGGTATTGGAGTGGCCATCACAAAGCCCTGACCTCAATCCTATACAGTGAGGGAAAAAAGTATTTGATCCCCTGCTGATTTTGTACGTTTGCTCACTGACAAAGAAATTATCAGTCTATAATTTTAATGGTAGGTTTATTTGAACAGTGAGAGACAGAATAACAACAAAATAATCCAGAAAAACGCATGTAATTCTTTAAATCTTTTATACAGGTAAAGAGCTGAGATTAGGAGCACACTCTTAAAGGGAGTGCTCCTAATCTCAGTTTGTTACCTGTATAAAAGACACCTGTCCACAGAAGCAATCAATCAATCAGATTCCAAACTCTCCACCATGGCCAAGACCAAAGAGCTCTCCAAGGATGTCAGGGACAAGATTGTAGACCTACACAAGGCTGGAATGGGCTACAAGACCATCGCCAAGCAGCTTGGTGAGAAGGTGACAACAGTTGGTGCGATTATTCGCAAATGGAAGAAACACAAAATAACTGTCACACTCCCTCGGCCTGGGGCTCCATGCAAGATCTCACCTCGTGGAGTTGCAATGATCATGAGAACGGTGAGGAATCAGCCAAGAACTACACGGGAGGATCTTGTCAATGATCTCAAGGCAGCTGGGACCATAGTCACCAAGAAAACAATTGGTAACACACTACGCCGTGAAGGACTGAAATCATATGCAGCGCCCGCAAGGTCCCCCTGCTCAAGAAAGCACATATACAGGCCCGTCTGAAGTTTGCCAATGAACATCTGAATGATTCAGAGGAGAACTGGGTGAAAGTGTTGTGGTCAGATGAGACCAAAATCGAGCTCTTTGGCATCAACTCAACTCGCCGTGTTTGGAGGAGGAGGAATGCTGCCTATGACCCCAAGAACACCATCCCCACCGTCAAACATGGAGGTGGAAACATTATGCTTTGGGGGTGTTTTTCTGCTAAGGGGACAGGACAACTTCACCGCATCAAAGGGACGATGGACGGGGCCATGTACCGTCAAATTTTGGGTGAAAACCTCCTTCCCTCAGCCAGGGCATTGAAAATGGGTCGTGGATGGGTATTCCAGCATGACAATGACCCAAAACACACGTCTAAGGCAACAAAGGAGTGGCTCAAGAAGAAGCACATTAAGGTCCTGGAGTGGCCTAGCCAGTCTCCAGACCTTAATCCCATAGAAAATCTGTGGAGGGAGCTGAAGGTTCAAGTTGCCAAACGTCAGGCTCGAAACCTTAATGACGTTGAGAAGATCTGCAAAGAGGAGTGGGACAAAATCCCTCCTGAGATGTGTGCAAACCTGGTGGCCAACAACAAGAAACGTCTGACCTCTGTGATTGCCAACAAGGGTTTTGCCACCAAGTACTAAGTCATGTTTTGCAGAGGGGTCAAATACTTATTTCCCTCATTAAAATGCAAATCAATTTATAACATTGTTTTTCTGGATTTTTGTGTGTTATTCTGTCTCTCACTGTTCAAATAAACCTACCATTAAAATTATAGACTGATCATTTCTTTGTCAGTAGGCAAACGTACAAACAAACGTACAAAATCAGCAGGGGATCAAATACTTTTTTCCCTCACTGTACAAAATAATTTGTGGGCAGAACTGAAAAGCGTGTGCGAGCAAGGAGGTCTGCAAACCTGACTCAGTTACACCAGCTCTGTCAGGAGGAATGGGCCAGAATTCACCCAACTTATTGTGGGAAGCTTGTGGAAGGCTACCCGAAACGTTTGACCCAAGTTAAACAATTTTAAAGGCAATGCTACCAAATACTAATTGAGTGTATGTAAACTTCTGACCCACTGGGAATGTGATGAAATAAATAAAAGCTGAAATAAATAATTCTCTCTTATTATTCTGACATTTCACAATCTTAAAATAAAGTGGTGATCCTAACTGACCTAAGACAGGGAATTTTTACTAGGATTAAATATCAGGAATTGTGAAAAACTGAGTTTAAATGTATTTGGCTAAGGTGTATGTAAACTTCCGACTTCAACTGTATATGCTTGTATTCACTGACTGTCGACTATTGATGAGGTCAACAGAAGTAGAAGCGACACCCCACCTAGAACAAGCTTTGTGTATCTTGACTCTACAGTGAACAGGAGGACGTAGAAGGTGTGTGTGGGGGACCCATGGACATCAGTGGAACGCCAGAATTCAGTGACCGCCTCTCTCAAGGTGAGTGGGACATGCCAAATCAACCCCTAGACACTTCCCTAGGCATTCCTAGTCGATCGCCAAACATTTCTGTAGAAAAGCCTTGCGCTCCTCCTTTCTTTTTTTGCCTTGAGCTGTTTGTGGTAGGTGCACTTGATTCAGCTGCCCTGCGCGCCGGTTTGGCAAAGTGTTCCCATTTTGAACCATTTAATTTGTCTGAAGGAACAAACTCGGCCTACCCGGCAGACCCGTAGAGCTAAATCAAGTGTGCCTACTGCGCTGGCCAATCGGATAGCTCAAATCACCGTGCCAGCAGCTTCCACTACCCCACAGCAAAGTTTGATACTAGCCTAAATGAGATTTCATGACTTTTAAAACCCTGACCAGAGAGACTGTCAAAGAATACAGCAAAGAGCTGCTGTTTTTATGATTCAACACTTTTACAAAACATAAAACATGCTTCTCCCTACTTCCACTCACGCTACAACCAGCACTGAACCTGCAATGAATGAGTAGCCAAGTGTATCGATAGACCTGCATTTCTATTATTAACGGCTCGTCGACTAATATTTCACTTTCTCTGGTCATAGGAACTACATGAATTTGTGCATGAGGCTGAAATAATGCGGTGTGACTCGAGTTTGGTCATCAGGTGGAAGACTGTCTCCCCACTCTCTGGTCAGTCTCACCGGAGAGAAGGAGAGAGCAGGGTGTTGAGAGGCGGACCCTCTGCTGCTCGCTCTCTCCCTCCATCCGCTGAGACTGACCATCAGATGCAGGTACAACCAGACATGGAAACGGTTTATGGGTTTATGAAATGCACATTCCTTTATTTAATATAATATGTGTATGATGCCTTGTCCTTTGGTGCTGCCGATGTAGCCTGTAGAGAGAAACACAGATTGTGAGTTCGCCGGCAATTCATTTGGTTTTGGCAGCAACCATTTGTTTGTTGCGCTGCATTTAATGTTTCTTATAATGCCTTTTCTTATTACATTTACATTGACGTCATTTAGCAGACGCTCTTATCCAGAGCAACTTACAAATTGGTGCATTCACCTTATGATAGCCAGTGGGGTAGAAGGATTACTTTTATACTATCCAAGGTATTCCTTAAAGAGGTAGGGTTTCAAGTGTCTCCGGAAGGTGGTCAGTGACTCCGCTGTCTTCGCGTCGTGAGGGAGCTTGTTCCACCGTTGGGGTGCCAGAGCAGCGAACATTTTTGACTGGGCTGAGTGTGAACTGTGCTTCCGCAGAGGTAGGGGGACCAGCAGGCCAGAGGTGGAAGAATGCAATGCCCTCGTTTGGGTGTATGGACTGATCAGAGCCTGAAGGTAAGGAGGTGCCGTTCCCCTCACAGCTCCGTAGGCAAGCACCATGGTCTTGTAGCAGATGCGAGCTTCAACTGGAAGCCAGTGGAGTGTGCGGAGGAGTGGGGTGACGTGAGAGAACTTGGGAAGGTTGAACACCAGACGGGCTGCAGCGTTCTGGATGAAATGTAGGGGTTTAATGGCACAGGCAGGGAGCCCAGCCAACAGCGAGTTGCAGTAATCCAGACGGGAGATGACAAGTGCCTGGATTAGGACCTGTGCCGCTTCCTGTGTAAGGTACTCTGCGAATGTTGTAGAGCATGAACCTACAGGATCGGGTCACCGCTTTGATGTTAGCGGAGAACAACAGGGTGTTGTCCAGGGTCACGCCAAGGTTCTTTGCACTCTGGGAGGAGGACACAACGGAGTTGTCGACCGTGATGGCAAGATCATGGAGCGGGCAGTCCTTCCCCGGGAGGAAGAGCAGCTCCGTCTTGCCGATGTTCAGCTTGAGGTGGTGATCCGACATCCACACTGATATGTCTGCCAGACCTGCAGAGATGCGATTCGCCACCTGGTTATCAGAAGGGGGAAAGGAGAATATTAATTGTGTGTCGTCTGCGTAGCAATGATAGGAGAGACCATGTGAGGATATGACAGAGCCAAGTGACTTGGTGTATAGAGAGAATAGGAGAGGGCCTAGAACTGAGCCCTGGGGGACACCAGTGGTGAGAGCACGTGGTGCAGAGACAGATTCTCGCCACACCACCTGGTAGGAGCGACCTGTCAGGTAGGACGCAATCCAAGAGTGAGCCGCGCCGGAGATGCCCAACTCGGAGAGGATGGAGAGGAGGTTCTGATGGTTCACAGTATCAAAGGCAGCAGATAGGTCTAGAAGGATGAGAGCAGAGGAGAGAGAGCTAGCTTTAGCAGTGCGGAGAGCCTCCGTGACACAGAGAAGAGCAGTCTCAGTTGAAGGTTATCAATGTTACCATTCAAGTGCACAGGGTTCGGTAATCACTATGTAACGTAAAATAATTGTTTGCAAACATATCCTACCTGTGAATTGTTTGTTCCTCTGTCATGCTCCTGCTGAGACGGGAGGTGGGTCAAACAGAGCTTCTTCTTCTTTGGGATTTGGTTGGCGGATTGCATCTAACTTTTAGGTGCATACACCGCCACCTACTGTATTGGTGTGAGGCCATTCACGGCCTACCTACATTAAATTATCTGATACGGTAATACAAAATTGAGGAAAAGGGAGATTGCCCTGCGAACTATTAGCTCTCTCTACAAAACCCACAACCCCATTCCACTATTTAACCCTATCTAGTCCTACTCCAGACCAACGATCTGAGAGGACATAACACTACCACTCAACACCCCCTGCAACTGTTCTGCAGTAAATCCTCACAATCCCAAGTACTTCTCTGCCACCTCTATTTTCTGTGGTTTTCTGCAGTACAATTAACAACCAAGGCTATAAATGCTCAAAAGTCCACCGTACTGAAGCACATATTATTCCCATCATTCTCTTGGTCTCTGCCTACTCAATCTTCCTCTACCACTCTCTTCACTGCTTCGGCATACGACACTTTCTGTACTACTTTAACCCAGGTAACCTCAAGCTGCCTTTCTCTCACCGGACAACTCCGATCTCCAGCCCCATGGGCACCCCCACAACTAATACACATAACTTTCTCCACCGATACCACACATTCCTTCGTCTCATGCCCTCCTGCACACTTCTCACATCTAGGCATCTCCCTCCTACACACTGCTGCAACATGCTCATAAACTTGACACCTAAAACACCATTGTATTTTCGGAACAAAAGCACTCACAGGGTAATTGACACTTCCTAGCATGACCTTATCTGGCAAAGACTGCATCAAAACTCAGCATGACAGACAATGTCTTCTCCGTTTCCCCACGCTCTGGGCGGAGGAAACACAATAAATCATCACAAATCCACTCCAAGTTACCTTCATCAACTCAACAGTCCCCAACCTCTTCTCCACCCAACCTGACACCACATATGGATCAGCCAAAATACAAGGATCCATTCGCTCTACAAATCTCACTCCCACTGGGCCAGAATCATCCTTATCATCCTCAGGACAAGGCCCAAATTCGGCAGTCCTCACCGCAGGTATTTCATCCTCACTCTCGCCAGTTTCCATTTCTGAACTACTGGAGCATGTATCCCTCTTTTTGCACTTGACGCCGACCTTCCTCACCACACTGCTTCCCTCTACACTCAACTTCTTCTCAGCAGTCATCGCTGCACCTGCCACCACAGTTAATTCATCCTCACTCTCGTCACGTTCAATTTCCTCCTCAAACTCTTCCAAAAGTTCTGTGAGATCCTCCATTCCATATTCACTCAAACGATAGTCCACCATCTTACCGCATGTCTCATCTCATCACCATCAAGCAGCCCCTGCTGCTATCATTATCACATTTTCGGGATATTCTGTCCTCTTACACTTCATTGGTGTTACAGTATTAGATCGTCAAACAGAACTGCGTTCAGGAGCTCTAATTATCCTGGGTACTACTGGGTTCTAGTATGTGGTTCTAAATGTTACCCCAATCCATTTATGCGTTATGCAGGGTTCTACACAATGTATTGAAATGTGTTTGTATTTAGTAATGTTTGATTCATTGCCTAAATACACTGAACAAAAATATGAATGCAACACGCAACAATTTCAAAGATTTACAGTTCATATAAGGAAATCAGTCAATTGAAATGAATTCCGTAGGCCATAATTAATGGATTTCACATGACTGGGAATACAGATATTCATCTGTTGGTCACAGATATCATGCAATGCGACACATCTCCTTCGCAGAGTTGATCAGGCTTTTGATTGTGGCCTGTGGAATTTTGTCCCACTCCTCTTCAATGGCTGTGCGAAATTGCTGGATATTGGCGGGAACTGGAACACTCTGTCGTACACGTCGATCCAGAGCATCCCAAATATGCTCAATGGGTGACATGTCTGGTGAGTATGCAGGAACAACTGGGACATTTTAATCTTTCTGGAATTGTGTACTGATTCTTGCGACATGGGGCCGTGCATTATCATGTTGAAACATGAGGTGATGGCGGCGGATGAGTAGCATGATAATGGGCCTCAGGATCTCGTCACAGTATCTCTGTGCATTCAAATTGCCATCAATAACATGCAATTGTGTTTGTTGTCTGTGCCTTATGCCTGCCCATACCATAACCCCACCACCACCTTGGGGCACTCTGTTCTCAACATTCAGCAAACCGCTCGCCCACACGATGCCATACACGCTGTTTGCCATCTGCCCGGTATAGTTGAAACTGGAATTCATCCATGAAGAGCACACTTCTCCAGTGGCCATCGAAGATGAGCATTTGCCCACTGAAGTTGGTTACGACATTGAACTGCAGTCGAGTCGAGATCCTGGTGAGGACGACGAGCATGCAGATGAGCTTCCCTGACAGTTTGTGCAGAAATTCTTAACTTGTGCTAACCCACAGTTTCATCAGCTGTCCGGTTGGCTGGTTTCAGATGATCCCGCAGGTGAAGAAACCGGATGTGGAGGTCCTGGGCTGGCGTGGTTACACGTGGTCTGCGGTTGTGAGGCCGGTTGGACGTACTGCCAAATTCTCTAAAACGACGTTGGAAGCAGCTTATGGTAGAGAAATGAACATTCAATTCTCTGGCAACAGCTCTAGTGGACATTCCTGCAGTCAGCAAGCCAATTGCATGCTCCCTCAACTTGAGACATCTGTGACATTGTGTTGTGTGACAAAACTGCACATTTTAGATTGGCCTTTTATTGTCCCCAGCACAAGGTGCACCTGTGTAATGATCAGCTTCTTGATAGGCCACACCTGTCAGGTGGATGCATTATCTTGGCAAAAGAGACATTTTCGCTTACAGTGTAGTAAACAAATTGTGCACAAAATCTGAGAGAATTAAGCTTTTCTTTGCATATGGAACATTTCTGGGATAATTTATTTCAGCTCATGAAACATTGGACCAACACTTTACATGCTGCGTTTTATATTTTTGTTCAGCGTATGTTTATTGTGCTGTTCAGGCCTTTATGTAAGATAATTGTTACCATTGATTTGTGATTGGTCTAAAATGGTACAGTCCAAGGTGAGGCCTGATGGGAATTATACTTGAAACCCTGCCAGGCAGGACAAGGGTAAGGTTGCCATGCTGGCTGTACGCTATATTTTCAGCTATTGATTGAAGCCTGGTTTCTTTGGAGCTCAACTTATTTTTTGTTTAATTTTCCAGTTTATGTTCCTGTCCAGTTATTGTTATGTTTGTTATTTTTGTTTGTACATAGTGTACAGTGTTCCGGCGGCTTCACCTCACCACTGTAAATAAACACCCTCAGTCTGAGTTTGCACCATATCGAAGTGTCTGCCTCCTCACTGAAACCTCCACCGCTAGGGTGGCCTCCGTTACAGTCCTACTGTTAAGGTTGCATTTTTTAAAAGATGTTTAGAAACAGTTCTGAGCTGTAGAGCTTGGCTTGCATTTTGAAAGTGAACTTGACTCAGAAAAGGTTGGTGATCACTGCACTAGACACTTAATCTGTAAGAATCTACAAACAGCAGACATGTAGCATAAGGGCTCCCGAGTGGCGCAGCGGTCTAAGGCACTGCATCTCAGTGCTTGAGGCGTCACTACAGATCCCTGGTTCGATTCCAGGCTGTATCACAACCGGCCATGATTGGGAGTCCCATAGGGCGGCGCATAATTAGCCCAGCGTCGTCCGGGTTTGGCCGGTGTAGGCCGTCATTGTAAATAAGAATTTGTTCTTAACTGACTTGCCTAGAATAAAAGAAATAAGGTAAGGAGGAGCTACTACCATATTCCTTTCCTATCTAATCCTCTCAAATATGACTGCACAGGATAGGATCTAGGAGCCCATTTAGGATTGTTGTGTGACGATTTCCCTGTGTTTGACAATTGTTTGCAGCTTTACAAATATACAGTTAGAACACTTAACACCTGATACAGAAAGCGAGACGAAAAAAGTTGTTTTAACTATGAGTCCCAACGTTGCGTTGCTATTTGAAAATACAAGAAGAGCGGTTTATGTCTGGTTAAATAATAAGTAAAACTGATGTTTTTGCTCCTGTCATGTTGCAGTGTGTTATGGAGGTGTGGGCGGCTCCTCCCCGCTGATGGACCCTCTCCCCCCAGAGTTACCGCCCCGCGCCCCTCTGGACGAATCAGACGGACGTGGGGGCGGAGCCGGCCTGGGCACACCATTTGCGGAGATGCCAGATGCCACAGGTGAAGGCTGCTACGCACAAACAAACACACCAGCATGTACAGAGCAAGTCTGGTGACACCTTTTTTTTTTATCTAATCTTTTCATCACTTCCCCAATCCCTCCTCCCCTCATCCATCCATCCCCTCATCCCTCCTCACCTCCCAGGCTCCTTCCTGTTCTCAGACGTGGCGGAGGCGGTGGAGCACCCTCTGAGCGAGTGCCAGTGGTTCCACGGGACGTTGTCGCGCCTCAAAGCGGCCCAGCTGGTGCTCGCGGGGGGTACGGCCAGCCACGGTGTCTTCCTTGTGCGCCAGAGCGAGACACGCCGCGGGGAGTACGTCCTCACCTTCAACTTCCAGGGCAAGGCCAAGGTACAAGAGACGGGGGAGGGAGAGTGTGTGTGTGTGTGTGTCAAATCAAATCACATTTTATTTGTCACATGCGCCGAATACAACTTGTGTAGACTTTACCGTGAAATGCTTGCTTACGAGCCCTTCCCAACAATGCAGAGTTTTAAAATTAAATAGTAATAAGAGGAATACAATAAAATACACAAGAATAAGGGAGGGAGTACCAGTAACAGATCAAAGTGCAGAGGTACGAGGTGTTTGAGGTAGATATGTACATGAAAGCAGGGTAAATTGACTAGGCATCAGGATAGATAAAAAGTAATAATAAGAGTATAATAAAGAACAGACCAGCATCATCAAATTACGTGTGTGTGTTTTGTGTTGTCGGTCTGCGTGTAGGTGTTGTGTGTGTGTGTGTGTGTGTGCGCGTATGTAGTGAATGTGTGTGGGTTTTGGTTTTGTGTGGGAGTGTCAATGTAGTGTGTGAGAGTGTGTGTGTGTGTGTGTGTGTGTGTGTGTGTGTGTATATATATATATACACACACACACACACAGTGGGGAGAACAAGTATTTGATACACTGCCGATTTTGCAGGTTTTCCTACTTACAAAGCATGTAGAGGCGTGTAATTTTTATCATAGGTACACTTCAACTGTGAGAGACGGAATCTAAAACAAAAATCCAGAAAATCACATTGTATGATTTTTAAGTAATTCATTTGCATTTTATTGCATGACATAAGTATTTGATACATCAGAAAAGCAGAACTTAATATTTGGTACAGAAACCTTGCAATTACAGAGATCATACGTTTCCTGTAGTTCTTGACCAGGTTTGCACACACTGCAGCAGGGATTTTGGCCCACTCCTCCATACAGACCTTCTCCATACAGACCTTCTACAGGTTTTGGGGCTGTCGCTGGGCAATACGGACTTTCAGCTCCCTCCAAAGATTTTCTATTGGGTTCAGGTCTGGAGACTGGCTAGGCCACTCCAGGACCTTGAGATGCTTCTTACGGAGCCACCCCTTAGTTGCCCTGGCTGTGTGTTTCGGGTCGTTGTCATGCTGGAAGACCCAGCCACGACCCATCTTCAATGCTCTTACTGAGGGAAGGAGGTTGTTGGCCAAGATCTCGCGATACATGGCCCCTTCCATCCTCCCCTCAATACGGTGCAGTCGTCCTGTCCCCTTTGCAGAAAAGAATCCCCAAATAATGATTTTTCCACCTCCATGCTTCACGGTTGGGATGGTGTTCTTGGGGTTGTACTCATCCTTCTTCTTCCTCCAAACACGGCGAGTGGAGTTTAGACCAAAAAGCTCTAATTTTGTCTCATCAGACCACATTACCTTCTCCCATTCCTCCTCTGGATCACCCAGATGGTCATTGGCAAACTTCAGACGGGCCTGGACATGCGCTGTCTTGAGCAGGGGGACCTTGCGTGCGCTGCAGGATTTTAATCCATGACGGCGTAGTGTGTTACTAATGGTTTTCTTTGAGACTGTGGTCCCAGCTCTCTTCAGGTCATTGACCAGGTCCTGCCGTGTAGTTCTGGGCTGATCCCTCACCTTCCTCATGATCATTGATGCCCCACGAGGTGAGATCTTGCATGGAGCCCCAGACCGAGGGTGATTGACCGTCATCTTGATTAATTGCGCCAACAGTTGTTGCCTTCTCACCAAGCTGCTTGTCCTTACACAGCGCTCTGGTCTTGGCCATTGTGGAGAGGTTGGAGTCTGTTTGATTGAGTGTGTGGACAGGTGTCTTTTATGCAGGTAACGAGTTCAAACAGGTGCAGTTAATACAGGTAATGAGTGGAGAACAGGAGGGCTTCTTAAAGAAAAAGTAACAGGTCTGTGAGAGCCGGAATTCTTACTGGTTGGTAGGTGATCAAATACTTATGTCATGCAATAAAATGCAAATTAATTACTTAAAAATCATACAATGTGATTTTCTGGATTTTTGTTTTAGATTCCATCTCTCACAGTTGAAGTGTACCTATGATAAAAATTACAGACCTCTACATGCTTTGTAAGTAGGAAAACCTGCAAAATCGGCAGTGTATCAAATACTTGTTCTCCCCACTGTGTGTGTGTGTGTGTGTGTGTGTATATGTGTATATATATATGTGTATGTATATATATATATTAGTCTAGTGAGTGTGCGTAGGGTCAGTGCAAGATACAGGCATTGCAGATAGTTTGGGTACCTTTAATTTACTATTTATGGTGGTCAGCTTGAAACATGTTGGGATTACAGACTGGGATGAGGTCGGCGCATGCTTTGAGAACGCGCGTATTATTCCATCTGGCCCGGCGGCCTTGTGATTGTTAACCTGTTTAAACGTTTTGCTCACATCAGCCACCGAGAGCGAGATCACATAGTCATCTGGAAAAACAGGGGCTTTCACGCAAGGCACAGTGTTATATTCCTCGAAGCGAGCATAAAAGGCATAAAAGGTATTTAGCTCATTTGGGAGTTCTGCATCGCTGGGCAACTCATGGCTGGGTTTCCCTTTGTAATCCGTTATCGTCTGCAAGCCCTGCCACATACAACGAGCGTCGGAGATGGTGTATTAGGATTCCACTTTCCTCCTATATTGTCCTTGTGTGAAAGAGAGAGCAAGACAGTGTTGTTAAATATTTTTTTTTACATTTTAGTCATTTAGCAGACGCTCTTATCCAGAGCGACTTTTTTTTTTCATACTGGCCCCCCGTGGGAATCGAACCTACAACCCTGGCGTTGCAAACGCCATGCTCTACCAACTGAGCTACACGGGACCCATGTGTGTTGGAAAGTACCAGTGTCTTTGTATGTGAAATGGTAGGGAAAATAGCTATACCATGGTAGGGGATACACCTGCTAAGTAGCATCCAAGGCTAACCCATATCTCCCTCTCTTCTCCCTTCTTTCCTCTCTCCCCCTTCTCCTCCTTCCCTCTATTCCCTTTCTCGTTCTCTCTCTCTCGCTCTCTCTCTCCCCCATACCTCCCTTCTCCTCTCTCCCTCTCTCTCCCTTCTCTCTGTCCGCTGCAGCACCTGCGTCTATCTTTGAACGAGGATGGCCAGTGCCGGGTGCAGCACCTGTGGTTCCAGTCCATATTCGACATGCTGGAGCACTTCCGCGTGCACCCAATCCCCCTGGAGTCTGGGGGTGCCTCGGACGTCACCCTCATCAGCTTTGTGGGTGCCACCGCCGTCCGGCAGCCAGGTAACAGGTCAGGGGTGAAAGGTCACAGGACGTTCCACTAGGATGAAACTACACTGGGTTTACACTGGCCTCTAAAGGCAAGTCTTGGGTGTTGTATGTACAGTGAGGGAAAAAAGTATTTGATCCCCTGCTGATTTTGTACGTTTGCCCACTGACAAAGAAATGATCAGTCTATAATTTTAATGGTAGGTTTATTTGAACAGTGAGAGACAGAATAACAACAAAAAAATCCAGAATAACGCATGTCAAAAATGTTATAAATTGATTTGCATTTTAATTAGGGAAATAAGTATTTGACCCCCTCTCAATCAGAAAGATTTCTGGCTCCCAGGTGTCTTTTATACAGGTAACGAGCTGAGATTAGGAGCACATTCTTAAAGGGAGTGCTCCTAATCTCAGTTTGTTACCTGTATAAAAGACACCTGTCCACAGAAGCAATCAATCAATCAGATTTCAAACTCTCCACCATGGCCAAGACCAAAGAGCTCTCCAAGGATGTCAGGGACAAGATTGTAGACCTACACAAGGGTGGAATGGGCTACAAGACCATCGCCAAGCAGCTTGGTGAGGAGGTGACAACAGTTGGTGCGATTATTTGCAAATGGAAGAAACACAAAATAACTGTCAATCTCCCTCAGCCTGGGGCTCCATGCAAGATCTCACCTCGTGGAGTTGCAATGATCATGAGAACGGTGAGGAATCAGCCCAGAACTACATGGGAAGATCTTGTCAATGATCTCAAGGCAACTGGGACCATAGTCACCAAGAAAACAATTGGTAACACACTACGCCGTGAAGGACTGAAATCCTGCAGCGCCCGCAAGGTCCTCCTGCTCAAGAAATCACATATACAGGCCTGTCTGAAGTTTGCCAATGAACATCTGAATGATTCAGAGGAGAACTGGGTGAAAGTGTTGTGGTCAGATGAGACCAAAATCGAGCTCGTTGGCATCAACTCAACTCGCCGTGTTTGGAGGAGGAGGAATGCTGCCTATGACCCCAAGAACACCATCCCCACCGTCAAACATGGAGGTGGAAATGTTATGCTTTGGGGGTGTTTTTCTGCTAAGGGGACAGGACAACTTCACCGCATCAAAGGGACGATGGACGGGGTCATGTACCGTCAAATCTTGGGTGAGAACCTCCTTCCCTCAACCAGGGCATTGAAAATGGGTCGTGGATGGGTATTCCAGCATGACAATGACCCAAAATACACGGCCAAGGCGACAAAGGAGTGGCTCAAGAAGAAGAACAGTAAGGTCCTGGAGTGGCCTAGCCAGTCTCCAGACCTTAATCCCATAGAAAATCTGTGGAGGGAGCTGAAGGTTCGAGTTGCCAAACGTCAGCCTCGAAACCTTAATGACTTGGAGAAGATCTGCAAAGAGGAGTGGGACAAAATCCCTCCTGAGATGTGTGCAAACCTGGTGGCCAACTACAAGAAACGTCTGACCTCTGTGATTGCCAACAAGGGTTTTGCCACCAAGTACTAAGTCATGTTTTGCAGAGGGGTCAAATACTTATTTCCCTCATTGAAATGCAAATCAATTTATAACATGTGTTTTTCTGGATTTTTTTGTTGTTATTCTGTCTCTCACTGTTCAAATAAACCTACCATTACAATTATAGACTGATCATGTCTTTGTCAGTGGGCAAATGTAGAAAATCAGCAGGGGATCAAATACTTTTTTCCCTCACTGTACGTTGTATGTCTGGTATATATGTTTTATGCATTATCATTGGGTTACACTATGCTATTACGTCAGTGAATCAGTACAGTGTGAGTGTGTATCATCCCATTGAAGATCAGGAGTGTGTACTTGTGTGTGTACAGGCCATAAGTAATGTTGTGTGTGCTAAAACATGGCCACTGCATGATGTTTCTGCCAATGTCATTATAACATAAGACTGGCTGCTTTGCATCCTCATCCTGTGGCCACTACAGCATGGGTGCTTACATGCGTACACACACACTGGAGTGGTTCCGCATGGCTTGGTCCCATCAATTTACACTGATTTTGGCTTGGATGTTACATCAGCCTATACATGCTCCCACCCATACACCCCTGCCCCTTACAACTGCCCCCCCTCACACACACTCACACACAATTCCAAATCAACCCCTCGCCCCTACTACCCTCTAAGCCCCTAGGCCCTAGCACTCTACCTACTCTCCTTCTACACCCTTCTTTCAGTCCCTCCCCTTCCTCCCCCCTCTCCCGTGCCTTCCAGAGCTCTGATTGGCTGTCTTTGTTATTGTGTTTTCGTTGGGTCATTCTTCGCAGGCCGGGACAGGGCAGGCAGCCGGCCCACAGTCTGTGATGTCATCACCACGCGCCACCCTGACTCTCCATCAACCCCCATCTCTGACTGTGTGTAAGTGAGACCAGACTCCACAGAGAGAGAGAGAGCGACAGACCTAGAGCGACAGACCTAGAGCGACAGACCTAGAGCGACCGAGAGAGACGGCGAGAGACAGACCTAGAGCGACAGACCTAGAGCGACCGAGAGAGATGGCGAGAGACAGACCTAGAGCGACCGAGAGAGACGGCGAGAGAAAGACGGCGAGAGACGGACTGAGACCTAGAGAGAGAGGGACCGAGAACGAGAGAGACAGACCGAGAGAGAGACCGAGAACGAGAGAGACAGACCTAGAGCGAGAGAGACAGACCGAGAGAGACAGAGAGAGACGGCGAGAGAAAGACGGCGAGAGAGAGACAGCGAGAGAGACGGACCGAGACCTAGAGAGAGAGAAACCGAGAGAAAGGGACCTAGAGAGAGGGACCTGGAGAGAGAGACGGCAAGAGAGAGAGACGGCAAGAGAGAGAGACGGCAAGAGAGAGAGACGGCAAGAGAGAGAGACCGATAGAGACTGTGAGAGAGACCGAACGAGAGAGTGAGAGAGACCGAACGAGAGAGTGAGAGAAACTGAGAGAGAGTGAGAGAAACTGAGAGAGAGTGAGAGAAACTGAGAGAGAGTGAGAGAAACTGAGAGAGAGTGAGAGAAACCGAGAGTGAGTGAGTAACTGAGAGACCGAGAGAGAGACAAACCAAGAGCGAGAGAGACAAACCTAGAGTGAGAGAGACAGACCCCTAGAGCGAGAGACCGAGAGAGAGAGAAAGAGAGAGAGAGGCTGAGAGAGCGAGACCGCGAGAGAAAGACGGCGAGAGAGAGAGACATAGAGAGAGAGACATAGAGAGAGGGACCTAGAGAGAGGGACCGAGAGAGAGGGACCGAGAGAGAGGGACCGAGAGAGAGGGAGAGAGAGAGAGAGAGAGAGGGACAGACCTAGAGCGAGAGAGACAGACCGAGAGAGAGAGAGACAGACTGAGAGAGAGAGACAGACCGAGAGAGAGAGAGACAGACCGAGAGAGAGAGAGAGACAGACCGAGAGAGAGAGAGACAGACCGAGAGAGAGAGAGAGACAGACCGAGAGAGAGACAGACCGAGAGAGAGAGACCGAGAGAGAGAGACAGACCGAGAGAGAGAGACAGACCGAGAGAGAGAGAGAGACAGAACCAGAGAGAGAGAGACAGACCCAGAGAGAGACAGAGAGAGACAGAGAGCGACCGAGAGAGACAGAGAGCGACCGAGAGAGAGAAAGACGGCGAGAGAAAGACGGCGAGAGAGACGGACCGAGACCTAGAGAGAGAGAAACCGAGAGAGAGAGAAACCGAGAGACCTAGAGCGAGAGAGAGGGACCCAGAGAGGGGGACCCAGAGAGAGGGACCTAGAGCGAGAGAGACAGACCTAGAGCGAGAGAGACAGACCGAAACAGAGACAGAGAGAGACGACGAGAGAAAGACGGCGAGAGAGAGAGACAGCGAGAGAGACGGACCGAGACCTAGAGAGAGAGAAACCGAGAGAGAGGGACCTGGAGAGAGAGGGACCTGGAGAGAGAGGGACCTGGAGAGAGAGGGACCTGGAGAGAGAGGGACCTTGAGAGAGAGGGACCTGGAGAGAAAGATGGCAAGAGAGAGATACGGCAAGAGAGAGACCGATAGAGACTGTGAGAGAGACCGAGAGAGAGGGTGAGAGAAACCGAGAGTGAGTGAGGTACTGAGAGACCGAGAGAGAGACAGACCAAGAGCGAGAGAGACAAACCCCTAGAGCGAGAGCAAGAGACTGAGAGAGAGAGACAGAGAGAGAGAGAGGCTGAGAGAGCGAGACTGAGAGAGATGGCAAGAGAAAGACGGCGAAAGAGAGAGACCGAGAGAGAGAAACCGAGAGACCTGGAGCAAGAGAGAGGCACCTAGAGAGAGGGACCTAGAGAGAGGGACCGAGAGAGAGGGACCGAGAGAGAGGGAGGGACCGAGAGAGAGGGAGGGACCGAGAGAGAGAGAGAGAGAGAGACCGACAGAGAGAGAGAGAGAGACCGAGAGAGACGGACCAAGACCTAGAGAGAGAGGGACCTAGAGAGAGGGACCTAGAGAGAGGGACCGAGAGAGAGAGACCGAGAGAGAGGGGGACCTGGAGAGAGAGGGACCTAGAGAGAAAGGGACCTGGAGAGAGAGAGAGAGAGACCACCAGAGAGAGAGAGAGAGAGAGAGAGACCACCAGAGAGAGAGTGAGAGACAGCCAGAGAGAGAGTGAGAGACAGCCAGAGAGAGAGAGACATTGAGAAAGAGACCTAGAGAGAGGGACCTAGAGAGAGAGCCAGCGAGAGAGAGAGACACAGCAGGAGAGAGACCTAGCGAGAGAGACCTAGAGAGAGACAGAGAGAAAGAAAGCGATGGAACGCACCATAGCGTGAGTGTAGAGCTAGCTAGAGTGGCCATTCACCTCAGTGTGCTGCTCAGTCTTCCAGTGAAGGTAAAGTTTGCACTAACCTTATCTAGAACTGGACCTACCATAGAGTTTTTTTTAGAACAAAGCTCACTCCTAGAGCAATGACTTGAGAGACCACCTCTGCTAAAGAATGTTGTATCTGCTAAAACGTTTAGGATCATGTAGAATCTTCATAGAACATTATCAGTCAATGCATTGTTTTGTGTTTTAAATTATATGTACTTAATAGACGGGAACAAGGAATGTGTGTGTGTGTACGTGCGCGCACAGTGTGTGTGTGTGTCGACTGATTCCATGACTCACATGGACCTGTCACACAGACATCGCGGCCATGACACTCACTCTGTCTCTCCCCCTCTTCCTCCTCCTCTTCTCCCTTCTCACCGCTCACTCTCTGGAAATTTCACCTTTACCTTGTCCCCCGCCCTGCCCACCCCTCCTTTATTTACACCTTTTGCCACTCTTTCTTTCTCTGCTTTTCTCTCTCGGCTGTTCTTTCCTCCCAACAGACTTGACCAGCAGACCCCGTAGCCCCCCCCAGCCTCCTCCTCCACCCCTGCCCCCCGGCCGGCCGCCACCCCCAACCCCACCCCAGGAACGAGGGACCGAGACAGAGCTGGGGGGTGGAGGAGGAGGAACTGCAGCAACTGCAGGAGGAGGTGCAGGAGAAGGAGTGGAGGACTGGGAGGAGAGGGAAGCTCCTCTCCGCCAACTGGATGGGATGGAGGGCGAAGAGCGGGAAGGAGGGAGGGCAAGAGCCATTGACAACCAGTACTCCTTCTTCTGAGGAGGGAGGGGGGTGTTTGTGCGAAAGGGAGAGTGGAGGAGGTGGGAGTCATAGCCATTCATAACCAGTATTTGTATTTTATTACGAGACTGTGAGGGGAGGGGGTTAGAAGGACGTACTAACACTATTAAAACACAAGCATTCTGGGAGATTCAGCAAGATTGAGAGAAAGAGAAAATGGGTGATAGAGAAGAGAGAGGGATGGGAGCACCTTACAACACTAAATAAAGGTACACTAATGTTTAGCGAGATAAGCTTTTTTGCCGGTACACCTCTTGGTACGCTTTTTGTTGACTTTTGAATCAATTTATGGATGTAGGTAGTGAGAGATATATCCTCTGAACCCAGCAGTACCATACCTCAATATCCTGCAGATATTCTACTGGCCAACAGTATACTTTCACAGAGGTAGAGATGGAGGGCAACCATATACTTACAAGGTGGCAAAGAGACTAAGCTAGAACCGGCAGGCAGGATACATATACCTCAGTCACTCTTTCAACCTCTTTCTCTCTCTTTCTTTTTCTCTCTCCAGTCATTTTCTGGTTTTCTTTAATGGTAGAGAAGTGGCCAGAGGTAGAGAGAGAGCGATTATATCTTTCCTTCAGATAAAAAAGTACTTTATTATTGATAATAATGATAATGGAAATATGATGATGGTCGGAAATAATAGTATTAATTTTATTTAGTTTTTTTAAATGCCTTTTATTGTATGTTGTTTACTCCATGTAATGTGTAACACTTGTTCTTGCCCCCATCCGGTTATTTCAGTTGAAATTTGTTTGTGCCTTTTTTTATATTGCTAAGCCTCATACTCAGTCTTTCCCTCACGCTCATACTGTCCTCTCCTCCTGGACCTCATCCTAATTTCATTTTAATGTGCAGAAATAGAAAATAAGAAAAATATAAGGGGGGGGGGGAAACATTTTTCTACTCGTGCCTTTCTGTGTTGTCACCTCTGTCATACTCCTTCAACCTGTGCCTAGGTTGTGTAGCCATGTCCGCCTGTCTGCCATTCAGTTCAGTGCCTCTCTCTTTCTTTCTCTTTGTATCTCCCTCCTTCCTCTCTTTGTTTATACCTTTCCTTCTTCTGTTTGTCCTCCACTCTACTCAGAGCCTTGTAATCATCTTTTACACATATTACCCATCCCCCTGTTCATCCTTTTCAAATGTTGAACTCTATTTGTGCCTTTCTGTCTCTGTCTGTCTCTCGCTCTCTCTTTTGCTGGGACCTTGTGTTGACGGTGGGCAGGGTTTTGTCCAACCTGTGTGGTTAGTTTCAGGTACTACATTGAATTTAATGATAATATGATATAATATAATTATACTGAAACATTATGGCCTCGTGTGTTGTTGCTTTGGTTCACTGTTATTGTTTCTTACTGAATAAAGGGGAAGGATGTAAAGGAATGTTACAGTAATTATTGCAGCTTTGGGTTGTCACTAGTTGCCACAAAGTCAAATGGATATATCATAAAAATTAATGAAGGGAAAAAAATCGCTTTTTGGTCATAATTTAAGGTTAGGTTTAAAATCAGATTTTAAGAAGATACATTTTAGAAATAGGCGGGGTTTGGCTGGAAACTAGTGACGACCGCAGTTTTGAGGTCTAAACTGTTCAGCGCGTGCACGTTCTTAGATTGTGAATGCGCACATACACACTCGTACACGCCCCCATCAACCCAGTCAGTCAGCCACGCGCAGACTACAACATCTTTGTGGTGCCAAACCGGCGAATTTGTTTTCCCAGAGTTTTATAATCTATTCAAATTACAAATGACATGCAATCGGAGTAAGCCACACGCAAGAGTATATCTACGGAAAGGAAACGAAAAACTACGTGCTAAAAGTTTTAGCTACAGAAGGGACATTACTGCTTGCTCGTCTAGCTAGCCATTGAGCTAGCTATAACGTGCAAGGCTGTACTACAGTAGCCAGCTAAGCTATCGATCAAGTTCCGAAGAGGCAATGTCTTTTCGTCGACAGAACGTGAGTTGTAGTCGTATCAAGTTGCTAAGCAAGGGTAGCTTGTTGCTACATGTATTGTTTTCTGTATGAATTCTAGCTAGTTTGTTCGATATTTGTTAGCAGCTAGCTTAAAGTTGGCTAGCTAACGTGAGCTTTATCGATGGTGTCCTCATTGACTTACTTGTACACTAGCTAGGTAGCCAGTCTGGTAATGTCAAATACTATTTAGTAGACTAAAGACAAATTGAATCAGTATAACTGTTACTTGAGGTGTAATTATTGGCACGTGTCACACCAGCAACAACCCGGTTCAGGCGGACGAAAAACCTCCAATGGAACGGCAGGGCCAGCAGGGTTGCCCCCTCACATCAGTGGGAGCAATACCAACAGAGCTGTGCCTGGAAGGTAAGCACATGTTCGGCCACAGTTGTCAAGCAAGTCCGGGGATCTGCCACATATCCATAGAGGTTTACCGGTCAATGCGAGGATTAGTGGGCGTGCCCATGTGAAACGGAGGCTTTAACTCGCTGTTTAAAGCCAATTGGAACGAAGTAAATATGATAGATGTATTTGCGGCCAATGGGCACAGAGGGTCTGCTAAATTGACATTGGTATGATTGACTGGTGTCTGAACCAATGGGATAGACGATACATTTGATTGACCCCAATATGCCCATTCACTTTCTGTGGGGAGGGGATTATCGTGTTTTTGTAGTTTTTTTAAGCATTTGCTTTGGATTTTGTTTGGCCTGTTAAGTCGTACGATTTTTCACAGAATAAACAAGACTGCGGAGTAACAGGGATGCACATGACTAAAAAGTATTAACACTGGTTATTTATTGTATTCAACGTGTCTGTCTATCTAGCAATTCTTAAATTAGTTACCAGTTTGCAGTTAGTTTCCTCCTTACTAACTGTCTTGTTTAGCTTGCCAGCTAACGTTAGCTAGACAACAAATAGCTAACTATTGTATTGTACCAAAACAAGCTATTATTTAGATTTTTAATCGTATGACAATCTCGCCAGTTACTCCAAATTGATAGCCAGTTACTAGATTACTTTAGCTAAAATAATTGCACGTTAGCAGGCTACCGCTAGGAAACGTTAGCTACATTGTTAGCCAAATCGCATTAACGTTACCTTCGGTTTTAGCTAACCCTAGTTAACCAGCGTGTGTCAACACAATTGCTTTCGTTAAGCCTCGCAAACAATGTCGAACGACACAGTAATAGAGAACAGAACATGATCCGCTACGGGGCTAGTTTGTCCCCCCCCCCTAATGTCATAGCTAACTAACGCGTGGATCACCGGCGTCGGCACGCATCCGTGACCGTGATCAGTCTTTTGCCCGACTACTGCATAGACAGGTCTCCTAGACAGATCTGCATAGAAAGTCCTATGACAGATCGAGAACCGCCACGCTAAAAAGTGCGCATTTGATCAACGTAATGTCCCGTGTCCATAATGCTTTGCAAGTTTGCATGTTTGTTAGCTACATTGAAAGTGGTGCAGCTGCCGGCCTATTTCTTGCGTTGCAGCATTTTGCCCCAGAGCCAGCTACACCCATTTGTCTTGTCTGTTGCTAATGTTCTCTCCCCACATTCAGGACAAGAAATACAATGAAGCCGCCATCTCAGCCCTCTCCCGTAAGTCACACATCATGAAATGTAGGCTATCCAGCATGTACTACAGCCGTTTTATGTAACAGTGCATAGCCTAGTACTCTTTTGATGACATAATCTAGGTTGTCTTTCTTTCTCTTTGTTTGCTTCCATACCATTGTACAAAATGTAAACTCTAAAACGTTAAAAGGAAATTGCGGGTAGAGTAAGGTCACATTTTTGGAGCTTTGAAATAGAAGTCAGACATGTTTGTTTGCAACTTGCAGGTATTTGAAGGTGTCTACAACAACACCAGGATGCTTCACTATCTCACAGCTGTAGTGGTGAGTGTTCATTTGGTCAATTAGGCCCTGGTCCACCATGGTACCTTACTTTGATGCAACACATACACATTGCCCTAATGTGCACTCTTTCCACTATTTAAGTTGTCGACAACTGTCTACTAATGTATATCTTCATGAAATGACCAATAACCATATACATTTACATTACATTTTAGTCATTTAGCAGACGCTCTTATCCAGAGCGACTTACAGTTAGTGCATACATTATTTTTTATACCCCCCGTGGGAATCGAACCCACAACCCTGGCGTTGCAAACGCCATGCTCTACCAACTGAGCTACATCCCTGCCGGCCATTCCCTCCCCTACCCTGGACAACGCTGGGCCAATTGTGCGCCACCCCATGGGTCTCCCGGTCGCGGCCGGCTACGACAGAGCCTGGATTCGAACCAGGATCTCTAGTGACACAGGTAGCACTGCGATGCAGTGCCTTAGACCACTGCGCCACTCGGGAGACTTATTACTCTCGGGAGACATATTATTATATATTTTTTTTATCCTTCAAGGGCTCCACCTGTGACGTCCGAGTGAAGAGTGGAAATGTGTATGAAGGCATCTTCAAGACCCTCAGCTCAAGGGTAATTTTATACTACCTTGTATTAGACATACAGGGGTGTTCTGCATACCGACAAGTTATAGACCCCTCCTAGAAACATGGTTGTGGTCAGATGTTCACCTTGATCTCAGGTGTATTCATTAGTCGGATTCCATTACAAAACCTAGTCAGTTGCACATCTGAATGCATTCAACCGAAATGTGTCTTCCGCATTTAACCCAACCTCTCTGAATCAGAGAGGTGCGGGGGGCTGCCTTAATCGACGTTCACGTCATCGGCACCCCGGGGAGCAGTTTTTCAAGGGCTCTGGGATTTGAACCAGCGAACTTCTTTCGGTTACTGGCCCACTGCTCTTTACCGTTTACTCTAGGGACTTCAATACCAGGTTTACTCAACAGATACCAAAACGATACTACATCTCTATTGATAAATTGGGTCAATTAAGATGTAGCCTAGGCCTATCCAAAAACAAGGTGAATGAATATTCAATAGGAGTGTGTGCATGCATTGAGTTATTGAGCTTGTTTTGGCTGATTTCATGTTGCTACAGATGACAATCTGTTTCTCTTTTCCCTTACATTTGGGACTTATTTTATTGTACTGATTAACATTTGCATTGAAGTAGCTTATTTTATAAAAAATGTGCATCGTCTACCAGTAATGTTGTCATTAACGAGGCAAGGGGGGGCGGCCCTTAGGAGCACAGTCAGTTCGCTGAGGAAATAGATAATCTTTGGGAGAGACCGAAATAAGAGAATTAATTTAAAAAAAATTGTGTAAATCAGCCATTGGCCTACAATAGCTGGAAGCTACCGGTAAAGTGTTCTAGCCTATATTTATATTGTTTTGCGAACAGTAAGTAACAGTTTCAACATTTCTACACATTTGACAGAAGTACCGAAAGTAACAAAAAATCGAGTACCGAACAGTTTATCATGTTCTATTATCAAAAAACTACCGACGTTTTGGTATACCATGCAACACCAGGAAGGGCCTACCTGAAATTGTCCAATAGAAACTTGCTTTCGTTGCAAAACGTTTTACGTTTGGATTAAAATGTTTTGCAACAGACAGTGTTTTGCAATGGAATCAGTGTAATGAATACATCCCAGGTCACATTGACCACTGCCTGCAGTCACTCTTCAGTTAACCTCTGTGGTTCATCCGTGGTCCTAATGTGTTTTTACTCCAGTGTGAGCTGGTGGTCGATGCAGTCCACAAGTGGAGCGAGGGAGGAGAGGCGGATGGAGACGGAGGGGGAGGCTTGCCCCCCTCCCTGCCCAGGATCGAGGAGATCACAGACACCATGATCTTCAGCCCCGGCGACCTGGTCACAATGACTTGCCGAGATGTGGACCTCAACTACGCCATCAGAGGTAAGTGTGTGTGTGAGAGAGAGTGCGTTGTCAGTGTGACTGAAACTGATTCAAGATAAGGATGTATGTTTTAAGTAAGCAGTCGAACTGAATGAGACAGATGGGGAGGGTGAACCAAGTGTGTGTGTGCGTCATTATGTACCCCTAGTAGATGACACATTATACCTTCAAATTTGGGCTGTGTGTGTAGATGCTTTCACAGATACAGCAATCAGCTCATCGCGGGTGAACGGGGAGCACAGGGAGAAGGTGCTGCAGCGGTGGGACGGAGGGGACAGCAACGGAGAAGGCTTCGACCTGGAGACGGACACGGTGAGATGCATAGACACAGTAGCTAGGTTTCCATCCAATTCACAAAAAACTGTTGTGATAAATAGCAAACTTGCCCAATCTGGTTTTGGTGCATGCTCTCTAGACAAGTTTGCTGATAAAGTTGACGGGGTTATATGATGAAGAGCAAGAGAATTTGTATTTGATAACGGCAGCCAAGCACCAATCATCATGTCACCAGAATTCAAATAACACCCTCAATATTTATTGGAAATTTGCATGAAGCTCAATGTGCCCTTAACCACAATGTGAAGTTCATAACTTATTTCATCTGCCTATAAACCCTTTATGCTTTTACACGACGTGATGGTAGTAGGCTACAACAACGTAACATATCATTGCGTGACTCCAAGTTTATTTAGACATGGTGGTTATTATATCAATAGTTACACATAACAGCGTTTCCTCCGCAATTATGGCAATCTATTTCACAGACCAAAGAAATTGTCTTGTCGACAATAGGATGTTTTGACGACAAATTCGCTGTTTCCATCAGGCCTGTTGTGAGTTTTGTGTGTTAGGTAATTAATCTGCATGAAATGGTTGGATGGAGACCTGGTCACTGACGCACGCACACACACACACACTTGGTGAGACACAGGCACACACTGACCGTACGGTTCTTCTGTCTCTGTCAGTCTAATGGCTGGGATGCCAGCGAAATGTTCAAGTTTAACGAGGAGACATATGGCGTCACGTCCACCTATGATTCCAGCCTCTCCATGTATACGTGAGTATCCTCCCCTTAGCTTCTTATTCTGATGTGGAATATGCTCAGGTCGCTTTGTCTATATAGCTCTGTATCATTCTCTGTCTTAGGCAGCGTTTACACAGGCAGCCCAATTCTGATATTTTTTCCACAAATTGGTCTTTTGACCAATCACATTAGATATTTTTCAGATCTGATCTTTCAAAATACCAATTAGTGAAAAAAAGATCAGAATTGGGCTGCCTGTGTGAACACAGCCTTATTCACTCACAACACCCTTTCTTTCTCACACACATTTTTGATTGACCTTGGAAGTCGTATCTCGGTCTTTCTCCCCCTTCAGTGTTCCCCTGGAAAGGGGCAGCTCAGATGGCTTCCGGCAGCGGGAGGCACGCGCGGCCCGCCTGGCGAATGAGATCGAGGGCAGCCCCCAGTACCGCCACCGCACCAACCTGGAGAACGACGATAAGAGCGAGGAGGACAAGTACAGCGCCGTGGTCCGAGAGAGAGACGAGGGGAGGGAGAGGGGCAGCCCCGGATTCCAGAGCAGTGCCGGGAGCAGGTGAGTCCGGAGGGGAATCGCAAGCATACACAAGCTTAGTTGTAGACTCAACACATGGACGCATAAACACAGTTGACAAAACTGCATCTGTGCGAGGATGTAGGCTGCACACTCAGTTGTATACACAGACAGACGTAACGGCACTCTAACATACACTGAACAAAAATATAAATGCAACATGTAAAGTGTTGGTCCCATGTTTCATGAGCTGAAATAAAAGATCTCAGAAATTTTCCATGAGCACCAGAAGCTTATTTAGCTCAAATTTCGAACCCAAATTTGTTTACATCCCTGTTAGTGAGCATTTCTCCTTTGCCAAGATAATCCATCCACCTGACAGGTGTGGCATATCAAGAAGCTGATTAAATAGCATGATCGTTACCCAGGTGCACCTTGTGCTGGGGATGATAAAGGCCACTCTAAAATGTGCAGTTTTGTCACACAATACAATGCCACAGATGTCTCAAGTTTTGAGGGAGCGTGCAATTGGCATGCTGACTGCAGGAATGTCCACCAGAGCTGTTGGCCACTGGCACGCTGGAGAAGTGTGCTCTTCACGGATGAATCCCGGTTTCAACTATACCGGGCAGACGGCATGTATGGCTTCGTGTGGGCGAGCGGTTTGCTGATGTCAACATTGTGAACAGAGTGCCCCATGGTGGCGGTGGGGCTATGGTATGGGCAGGTATAAGCTACGGACAATGAACACAATTGCATTTTATCGGTGGCAATTTGAATGCACAGAGATACCGTGATGAGATCCTGAGGCCCATTGTCGTGCCATTCATACTCCGCCATCACCTCATGTTTCAGCATGATAATGCAAGGCCCCATGTCGCAAGGATCTGTACACAATTCCTGGAAGTTGAAAATGTCCCAGTTCTTTCTCGGCTTGCATACTCACCAGACATGTCACCCATTGAGCATGTTTGGGATGTTCTGGATTGACGTGTACGACAGCGTGTTCCAGTTCCCGCCAATATCCAGCAACTTCGCACAGCCATTGAAGAGTGGGACAAAATTCCACAGGCCACAATCAACTCTATGCGAAGGAAATGTTGCGTTTGCATGAGGCAAATGGTGGTCACACCAGATACTGAGTGTTTTTTTGATCCACGCCCCTACCTTTTTATTTAAGGTATATGTGACCAACCGATGCATATCTGTATTCCCAGTCATGTGACATCCATAGATTAGGGCCTAATGAATTTATTTAAATTGACTGATTTCCTTATATGAACTGTAACTCAGTAAAATCTTTGAAATTGTTGCATGTTGCGTTTATACTTTTGTTCAGTTTATCTCTCTCTCTCTAGGGAGGGTAAATACATTCCTCTTCCCCAGAGGGCCAGGGAGATGGGTGTGTCCCCAAGCAGCCTGAGGGGCGGAGCCTCTGGTCCAATACCCAATCGAACAGGAGCCCCTGGCTCCTCTAGACCCACCCAGGGTTCTGATAGGAGCAGCCCGCTGTCCGTCAGGGGCGCCTACTCTCCCCACCAGTCCCAAGCCAGCCCCCCAGCCCAGCCCAGTAGCCCTACCCCCTCCTCTTCCTCCTCTCACCCGATTCCTCACTCCATCTCTCACCCACAAGCTCTGGCCGATGCCTCACGCTCTTCTGTCAACGGAGGTAAGGCTGTGTCTGTTTGGGTATATTGAGGGAGCGTGTGTGTGTGTGTGTGTGTGTGTGTGTGTGAGGTTTTGGGTATATTGAGTGTTAATTGTGCTCTTTCTGTGTATCAGTGTCGTCCAGAACTTCCCCCAAAGCCCAGAGATCCGTACAGACCAATAGAACTCTGCGCAACCCAAGCTCCCAGTCCTCACCTGCAGGTACACACACCTCATCTGAAAGTGCACAGAAACGCACATTTCCACCACTCATATTCTAGACTATTCACATCCCTCACCTCTCCTTTTCTCCTTCTCTTTCTCTCTCTCCGCAGTCTCTCGCTCTCCAAAACCAGACGACCCTGCTCTGGCTGGCCCCGCCTACCTGGACACTTCCTCCTCCTCGATCGCCTCGGCAACACCCAAGTCCTCTGGCCCCACCCCTCTGTTCACTGTGGATGGTGAGGAGGAAGATGATTACTGCGCTATCCTTTTACAGAATTGTTGTTTATTGATCTATTGAAGTTATGTTTGTGATTTTTAATGATTTCTGTTCCTCTCTCTACCTCTTTATCTCTCTCCATCTCTCTTGCTTTCTTTTTCTCTCGCTCTCAGTGAATGAGATCCTGAGCTCAGCGGCTAAGGAGAGGACAGAAGGCCCAGCCAGCCCTCAGGACGGCAAGAGCGGCAAAGGTTAGCTTTCCTTTCTCTCTCCATTTGACTGGTCCCTGTCATTCCCCCTCCATCTCAGGTCTTTTGAAAAATAGATTTTCTCTCAATGATTTTCTCTCTCCCTCTCAGTTCCCTCAGTCCTGCAGAGAACACAGTTGGAGGAGCTACGGAAATTTGGCAAAGAGTTCAGGGTAAGTGTGTCTCATGTCCATGCATGCCTGTGTGTGACCCATGTATCTGATTCTGACACACTCGCGCTCTCCCACAGCTCCAGCCCAGCTCCTCCCCTTCTGCTGGCCCCGCCTCCTCAGAACCCGCCCAGCCCTCCCCATCAGACTCCGCCACCACAGCCGAGTCCAAACCCGCCCCTGGCCACACTCCCTCCCAGGACCCCCAGACTGGAGAGGGGTCCTCCTTCACCCCGACCTCCACCACCCCTACCCCCTCTCCAGCCCCCAACACCGCCTCTCAGTCATCAGGTCCAGACAGGCAGGCTGCAGGGACACCCCAGCCAGCCAGGACCCCTGGCAGCGAAGAGGGCGGCGAGCGAGCAGAGGGCGTGGCTGAGTAAGTTTGAACAGTGCAATACAGTACAGTATTCCACAGTGCAGTACAATACAGTCTACTCCTAAGTCTAACAGTAGGTATTAGGTTATCTGTTAAAAACTCAGCAAAAAAAAGAAACGTCCCTTTTTCAGGACCCTGTCTTTCAAAGGTAATTCGTAAAAATCTAAATAACTTCACAGATCTTCATTGTAAAGGGTTCAAACACTGTTTCCCATGCTTGTTCAATGAACCATAAACAATCAATTAACATGCACCGGTGGAACGGTCGTTAAGACACTAACAGCTTACAGACGGTAGGAAATTAAGGTCACAGTTATGAAAACTTAGGACACTAAAGAGGCCTTTCTACTGACTCTGAAAAACACCAAAAGAAAGATGCCCAGGGTCCCTGCTCATCTGCGTGAACGTGCCTTAGGCATGCTGCAAGGAGGCATGAGGACTGCAGATGTGGCCAGGGCAATAAATTGCAATGTCCGTACTGTGAGACTCTTAAGACAGCGCTACAGGGAGACAGGATGGACAGCTGATCGTCCTCGCAGTGGCAGACCACGTGTAACAACACCTGCACAGGATCGGTACATCCGAACATCACACCTGCGGGACAGGTACAGGATGGCAACAACAACTGCCCGAGTTACACCAGGAATGCACAATCCCTCCATCAGTGCTCAGACTGTCCGCAATAGGCTGAGAGAGGCTGGACTGAGGGCTTATAGGCCTGTTGTAAGGCAGGTCCTCACCAGACATCACCGGCAACAACGTCGCCTATGGGCACAAACCCACCGTCGCTGGACCAGACAGGACTGGCAAAAAGTGCTCTTCACTGACGAGTCACGGTTTTGTCTCACCAGGGGTGATGGTCGGATTCGTGGTTATCGTCTAAGGAATGAGCGTTACACCGAGGCCTGTACTCTGGAGCGGGATCGATTTGGAGGTGGAGGGTCCGTCATGGTCTGGGGCGGTGTATCACAGCATCATCGGACTGAGCTTGTTGTCATTGCAGGCAATCTCAACGCTGTGCGTTACAGGGAAGACATCCTCCTCCCTCATGTGGTACCCTTCCTGCAGGCTCATCCTGACATGACCCTCCAGCATGACAATGTCACCAGCCATACTGCTCGTTCTGTGCGTAATTTCCTGCAAGACAGGAATGTCAGTGTTCTGCCATGGCCAGCGAAGAGCACGGATCTCAATCTCATTGAGCACGTCTGGGACCTGTTGGATCGGAGGGTGAGGGCTACGGCCATTCCCCCCCAGAAATGTCTGGGAACTTGCAGGTGCCTTGGTGGAAGAGTGAGGTAACATCTCACAGCAAGAACTGGCAAATCTGGTGCAGTCCATGAGCAGGAGATGCACTGCAGTACTTAATGTTTTGATTTTGACCCCCTCCCCCTTTGTTCAGGGACACATTATTCAATTTCTGTTAGTGACATGTCTGTGGAACTTGTTCAGTTTATGTCTCAGTTGTTGAATCTTATGTTCATACAAATATTTACACATGTTAAGTTTGCTGAAAATAAACGCAGTTGACAGTGAGAGGACGTTTCTTTTTTTGCTGAGTTTATGTAGTATTGTTGATTAGGGGGTGTAACGGTTCAACAAACCTATGGTTCGGTACGTATTAAGGTTGTGGGGTCACAGACAAATGTAATGTCATCCACAATGTTCAGCATTCACAATGTTCCTTGCATTGTCTGTTGTGACCGGATTGTTATGTTGGGCCTCAAGATGTCCACTCCGATGCTGCGTTTGCAACCATGTGGGAGGCGGGAATTTACCAGTTGTGAAGTTGTAAATACCAGTTCGACGCATTCATGTGATTTTAACTCGTTGCGAAACGCCGATTGGCTAATGGCCAACAAGCTATAACCATAAACTAAAAGTACAACTATCATGCTTGTAAATTATACAGTGCCTTGCAAAAGTATTCATCCCCCTTGGCGTTTTTCCTATTTTGTTGCATTACAACCTGTAATTTCAAATTGATGTTTATTTGGATTTCATGTAATGGACATAAACAAAGTAGTCCAAAATGGGGAAGTGAAATGAAAAAAAAATTGAAAAAATAAATAACGGAATGGTGGTGGGTGCATATGTATTCATCCCCTTTGCTATGAAGCCCCTAAATAAGATCTGGTGCAACCAATTACCTTCAGAAGTCACAATTAGATTGCACACAGGTGGACTTTATTTAACTAAGTGTCACATGATCTCAGTGTATATATACACCTGTTCTGAAAGGCCCCAGAGTCTGCAACACCACTAAGCAAGGGCCACAACCAAGCAAGCGGCACCATGAAGACCAAGGAGCTCTCCAAACAGGTCAGGGGCCAAGTTGTGGAGAAGTACAGATCAGGGTTGGGTTATAAAAAAAATATCCTAGACTTTGAACATCCCACGGAGCACCATTTTAAATCCATTATTAAAAAATGGAAAGAATATGGCACCACAACAAAACCTGCCAACAGAAGGCCGCCCACCAAAACTCATGGACCAGGCAAGGAGGGCATTAATCAGAGGCAACAAAGAGACCAAAAATAACCCTGAAGGAGCTGCAAAGCTCCACAGCGGAGATTGGAGTATCTGTCCATAGGACCACTTTAAGCCGTACACTCCACAGAGCTGGGCTTTACGGAAGAGTGGCCAGAAAAAAGCCATTGCTTTAAGAAAGAAATAAGCAAACACGTTTGGTGTTCGCCAAAAGGCATGTGGGAGACTCCCCATACATATGGAAGAAGGTACTCTGGTCAGATGAGACTAAAATTGAGCTTTTTGGCCATCAAGGATAACGCTATGTCTGGTGCAAACCCAACACCTCTCATCACCCCGAGAACACCATCCCCACAGTGAAGCATGGTGGTAGCAGCATCATGCTTTGGGGATGATTTTCATCTGCAGGGACTGGGAAACTGGTCAGAATTGAAGGAATGATGGATGGCGCTAAATACAGGGACATTCTTGAGGGAAACCTGTTTCAGTCTTCCAGAGATTTGAGACTGGGATGGAGGTTCACCTTCCTGCAGGACAATAATAATAATATGCCATTTAGCAGACGCTTTTATCCAAAGCGACTTACAGTCATGTGTGCATACATTTTTTTTGTGTATGGGTGGTCCCGGGGATCGAACCCACTACCTTGGCGTTACAAGCACCGTGCTCTACCAGCTGAGCTACAGAGGACCACAATGACCCTAAGCATACTGCTAAAGCAACACTCTAGTGGTTTAAGGGGGAACATTTCAATGTCTTGGAATGGCCTAGTCAAACCCCAGACCTCAATCCAATTGAGAATCTGTGGTATGACTTAAAGATTGCTGTACACCAGCGGAACCCATCCAACTTGAAGGAGCTGGAGCAGTTTTGCCTTGAAGAATGGGCAAAAATCCCAGTGGCTAGATGTGCCAAGCTTATAGAGACATACCCCAAGAGACTTGCAGCTGTAATTGCTGCAAAAGGTGGCTCTACAAAGTATTGACTTTGGAGGGGTGAATAGTTATGCACGGTCAAATTCTGTTTTTTTGTCTTGTTTGTTTCACAATAGAAAATATTTTGCGTCTTCAAAGTGGTAGGCATGTTGTGTAAATCAGATGATACAAACAAAATAGGAAAAATGCCAAGGGGGGTGAATACTTTCCCAAGCCACTATAGAGTTCAAAAACCACATTTAATAGATTGCTTTATATAAATAATGTTTTGTTGCATTTAACTGCCGAAAATGCTGTTAGAGGCCATTTCCTTAGTAGGTGATGTCAGAGGTCAACATGTGAGTGCTCAGGATGATAGATGAGTTTCCTAATAGTAATTACCAGTTTGAGGGCCGTTCAAGTGGGTTTGTCCCCAGTCGTATGTGGTAAATTCCCACTTCGCTCTTGGTTACGAACGCACCATGACACTGCCTCCTTCAGTGCCAGATGCGCGTCTGTACCAAGGTACATCGCCCACTCCGGGGTAATGTGATTGGCTCACTGTTAAGTAAGCGCAACACTGGGTGCATAGGCCAATTCATTGGGAATTTCTGCTTTGGTTTGTGTATATATAGAGCAAGTAACCTGTTTGCTGAAATGGGTGTAAGAGTGTAAGTTCGTAACGTAGCTCGAGCACTTTCATGAGGTGCTGAAACCTCTACTGAAACCCCCTATTCTCAACCACTGAGAATGGGCGCATATCCGCAGCTATAAACCAGACTGTAGAAAATATTAACATAGCCTACCTATCGTTCTTGTAATCTCTTTGGCCCAGTCAGTCAGCTGCCAAGGGCTGCTTGAATGCAGAGGGCAGACGATGTGTTGCTGTTTCTTTGAGTTTCCATCTTGCTGCAGTATACTGGGGTGACGACGACGTCGTCGTAAATGTGTCAACATATTTATAGGCTATTCTCATTGAGCAGTGGCGACATACAGTTAACGTTTTATCCACAACTCTCTGTCCATTGCTGTTGTAGTCTACTAGGAAGCCAAAATGTTCAGAAACTGGAGATTTTAATGATAACGGAGGATCCTCCAATTCTGGTTTATCGACCCCACCACTCGCCATCGTACAGAACTAGTTCCAGGCTGTGTCTCACAAAAGAACAGTTTGAAATGCGTAAATTTAAGATTAGAATTTTGATTACAACATGCGCATAGGCTCTAGTTGTTTTAACGGAATAGCCAACAATGTTTTTTCAGCGCTGATTTACTCAAGAGGCATAGGCCTACAACGCAGTGTATCCATTCGGGTTCACAGTGCGGACCGAACTGAGGTCCCTGTACCGACCGGTTCGGTACGAATAAGTGTACAGTTAAACCCCTAGTGTTGATAAGATGTGTTGACACACTTATCTGTAGGTATTATGCTAGGGCTGGGCGATATATCATGAATACCGATATGAATCCACATACTGGTATGTATTTGTACAGTACCGTATATATAGCAATATGTTGATACAGTGCTAAATTAAGTCAAAAGTGAGCCCCAAGCTCAGGTGGGCAAGGTAGTTGCCATGTTGAGGATGTATGAGAATGGATGTATGGAAAAGGGATTTGAAAGATGATTTGGAGTCCTCATTCCCCTCTCGCTCTTTCCTTCGGTGTGTTTTTTTAGTCAGGTGAAGAAGTCTACGCTGAACCCCAACGCCAAAGAGTTCGTCTTCAAGGCACCCATGACCCTGGTCTGTCTCTCTCTCTCTCTCTCACACACACACACACACACACACACACACACACACACACACACACACACACACAGAGGAAAGTAGTTGAGAACAAATTCTCTCACAACCTGTTTGGCCAGGAGTTCAACTATATGTTCAGACACATATACTCACACACCAAATGTAACTGTGTGATTTGTTCAACTAAACACACACTCACATTATCTCACAAACCAACCTAAACTGTGCGCGTTCTCTCCTCCCCAGGTGAAGCCGTCCCCAGCCCCCACCCCCCCGCGGCCCACTCCTCCCAGCCCCTCCGTGGTGCTCCAGCCCCCCCCGGGACAACAGGCCATCTACAGCACCCCCTACCTGTCCTACCTCTCCCCCGTACAGCTACAGGGACACTCTGTACAGGTATGACTAGGACTGAGGCTGTGTGTGTGACTTCTGTCTCTGAAAAATAAGCATTAGTGTGTCTGGGGTGTTAAAAAAAAATGTTTATACATTTGAGGTTGGGGCCTAACTGTCCTTTGTTTCCTAGGCTCCACAGATGTATCAGTACACCATGTCTACAGTCCAGCAGGGGAAATATCCCAGAGCTAAAGGTATACACACTCACACCATTCTGTTACCTAATCAATAGGTTGGTCGCAACACTGTCATAACCGTTCACTCTCTATTCAATGTTACGCTCTTTTAATTTAGCAACTCGAGAACATTTGAAATCAACAAGTACAGAACTATAGACTAAAGTTATGATCACAATGATCAATATGTTAATAACCCTCTCCCCCCCAGGCCAGGTGGTAGGCCCTCGTCCGGACCACCACGGCTCTTCTCAGCCCCAGATGCTCCAGGCTGCAGCGTCTGCAGCAGGCCCTCCCCTGGTGGCCTCCCCCTACCCCCAGGCCTACCTGCAGTACAGTCAGGTCATCCAGGGCATGCCCCACTACCCCGGACAGGTAGCTAACTACCATGCTAATGTTGCTAATGCTAACCAGGCCATGCCCCACTACCCTGGACAGATAGCTATTGTGCTAGTGGTGCTGGCGCTAATACTTATCCACGCTTATAACAGCATAGGCCCGGAGACCCACAATGTGTGTTGTGGATGGAGGTTTTGTTTCAATAACATTTTCATAACATTTTCTTATTCCCTTTTCTCACTCTTTTTCTTTCTCTTCTGTCTTTCTTCCTCTCTTCTCTCCCCTTCTCTCGTTCTTTCTCCTCTTCCTCTTTTTCTTTCTCTCTCACTCCCCCCCCCCCCCCCAATCTGTGCTAGCCGGTGTACTCCATGCTGCAGGGTGGGGCCAGGATGTTGACTCAGGCGGGCCACCCACAGGCTCTGGGCCCCCCAGGCCCCCAGTACCCCGGACAGACAGAGGGGCCCCCGGGACCACAACAGGCCATGTATGGTAAGATAACGCACAGTCTGTTTTAAAAGTACACTCAGCAAGACTTCATCATTGTAGTCGTGTACTGGACAACGTCCTGCTTACAGACATTCGTATCAATACAATTCATTTATTCTAAGACTGTCATTGTTCAAGGCTCTTTGGTTTGTAAATTATGTTTGAATCCACATACTTGAGGTTCAAGTTAGTCTTCCATCTGTTTCTTAGCCCCCCAGCAGTTCTCCCACCATTCTAGCTCCATGCACCCTCCCCAGCCCTCCAGCACCCCCACTGGGAGCCAGCCCCCTCCCCAGCACACTGCCCCCAGCCCTGGGCATGGACAGGTAAACCAACCAGCCCAGCATTGTGTGTGTGTATATGCATGTATGTTTTTATTTTATTTTATTTTTGGTCATTTAGCAGACGCTCTTATCCAGAGCGACTTGTCACATACATCGGATAGGTGCAGTAAAATGTGTTGTGTTGTTTTACAGGGTCAGCCATAGTAGTACGGTGCCCCTGGAGCAAATTAGGGTTAAGTGCCTTGCTCAGGGGCACATCGACAGATTTTTCACCTTGTCGGCTTGGGTATTCGAACAAGCGATCTTTCGCTTACTGGCCCAACGCTGTAACCGCTAGGCTGTGTGTGTGTGGGGGAGTGATTCACGTACTGGTGTAGGAGCGATTCCGTCTTGTCAGTGTCTTTGCTGCATGTTTCCTGTGCGGAGCCTGTAATTAAAGTGGCACTCCAGCAGTGTTGGGGGTTATGCGTTACAAAGTAACTTGTTACATAATCAGATTACTTTTATGAGTACATTTATGAGTTCAAATTAGGTAATATTATTAATTACTTTGTATAAAAAAAAAACTTGTGCGTTTCTTTCAGAATCGGGCACGTATTTCCATGATCCGATCTTGATTACTTCTTTCATTTAGTTCTCGAGCAAGCGGAGAGCGGCTGTTTTAGAGAAATGTCATAACTGCTGCTGTCCATAGAAATGTATAGAGGGCGCACCTCTGATCTTTGCTATTGATGGCTTCTGTGATAGCAAAGCCCATAGAGGGTTTTTCCATTTAGTGGAAAGTGTGCCCTTTATACATCTCTATGGGTCGTGTACGTGCGGTCTATAACCAGAACTGGCAGTTCGAGAGAGATTTTGAAAGAAAAGAGAGAATCTGTTCAGATGTTTGGCTTACAGTCAGGGCCGGTGTTTTGGGCGGGCCTTAGGGGGCCTGGCCGACCTTACCCCGTAACTTCTTGCCCGTCCAAATAAAATATTGAAATATTGATCTTTTATTTGACCAAGATGTGCGACGACAGAAAGACACATCAATCTCAGATATAGCATCCAAGCGAGCGAAACGGCGCTCCTCTGTCTCAGTATGTGTTGTCGCCTGTATAGAGCCCCACAGTGGAGGTGTCATAATACCCATAAAACCTAGCGGTCAAACAGGGAAATGGTTCCAATCGTTTTTCTTTTGATTAACCTGGCATGACTTTTCTCTCAGACAAGGTGACTTTTATCAATATATTTAGCTCTATTTACTCTGATTCAAAAATGCTAATTAGCATAAAAGTTGACATCATGCAAGACTACAAATCCCTGCAAGCTCTTGCATGTCATCTCTAGCTGACAACTTTGCTAACAGGTATTGTGTCAATGTAAAACTTGCACAAGACAGTTAACATAATTGTCCATTTAAAGAAATGTAGCCAATTTATTCATTACAACATTTAGCTAACATTAGCTACTTAATCCAGAGATTCTTACCTTTGCCTCGATTCAGCAGTCTCGACCAGATCATGGCATTTGTAGTTCTTTATGGTAGCCACATTAGCATTTCATTTTGGTGGGGGTAAATACAGGCAAATATATTGAAAAAGTTACCTTGTTTCTAAAAATAAATCTATGGGGAAAATGAATGGTGGAAAAACGATAGGAACCATTTCCCTGTTTGACCGCTCGGCTTTTGGGGTACTATGACTCATACAGTGGTACTCTATCCCCTCCTTTGGTACAACAACTCCCATCGTTAGGGCGGAGACGTGCATCATTATATACATATGTCTGGTTACAGCCACTTGCGAATTGGAAAGGAAAGTTGGTGGGTGCAGTGTACTGTTCGGATGTCTGGGTTCCCCTAAATTGATGTTTTGCCAAAATTATATAATTACTCCTGTCTAAATAAACTAATTCAAAATACTTCACCAGAGAGCATGCTTAGCCACAGAGGATCATTAGCTTCTTAAAAAATTAAAAAATGCTGTGGAGTGCATTAGCCTATGCCTGTTTGGGAAGCCCGCAATTTGGGCAGCACGCGTGGTAGGCCTAGATGATTGAGTTGCGGCTGTCAGTGAATAGCTAAAATATGTGTGAAGATAATGTCTCAAGTATAATTTAAAACATTCAGACAAGAAGGGGAGGGGTGTGTGGCGAAGATATGGTGCGTCTCTCCCCAGAATGCATGCGCTCCGCTCTCCAGAATGCGCTCAGCTGTCTCCTGCCAATTCATGCGCATTCATTGTTTCATTGTGTGAATTGTTTGCCCTTTAATTGTTTATTTTTATCAACTCCCCATTACATACAGTACCAGCCAAAAGTTTGGACACACCTACTCATTCCAGGGTTTTTCTTTATTTGGACAATTATCTACATTGTAGAACAATAGTGAAGACATCAAAACTATGAAATAACACATATGGAATCATATAGTAGCCAATAAAGTGTTTAAAGAAAATTTTAAATATATTTGAGATTTGAGATTCTTCAAAGTAGCCACCCATTGCCTTGATGACAGCTTTGCACACTCTTGGCATTCTCTCAACCAGCTTCACCTGGAATGCTTTTCCAACAGTCTTGAAGGAGTTCCCACATATGCTGAGCACATGTTGGCTGCTTTTCCTTCACTCTGCGGTCCAACTCATCCCAAACCATCTCAACTGGTTTGAGGTCAGGTGATTGTGGAGGTCAGGTCATCTGATGCAGCACTCTCCTTCTTGGTCAAATAACCCTTACACAGCCTGGAGGTGTGTTTTGGGTTATTGTCTTGTTGAATAACAAATGATAGTCCCACAAAATGCAAACTAGATGGGATGGTGTATCGCTGCAGAATGCTGTGGTAGCCATGCTGGTTAAGTGTGCCTTGAATTCTAAATAAATCAGTGTCACCAGCAAAACACCATCACACCACCTCCATGCATCGCGGTGGGAGCCACACATGCGGAGATCATCCGTTCAGCTACTCTGTTTCTCACAAAGGCACACCTGTTAATTGAAATGCATTCCAGGTGACTACCTCATGATGCTGGTTGAGAGAATACCAAGAGTGTGCAAAGCTGTCATCAGTGCAAAGCTGTCATCAAGGCAAAGGGTGTGTACTTTGAAGAATCTGAAATATATTTTGATTTGTTTAACACATGATTCCATATGTGTTATTTCATAGTTTTGATGTCTTCACTATTATTCTACAATGTAGAAAATAGTAAAAATAAAGAAAAACCCTGGAATGAGTAGGTGTCCAAACTTTTGACTGGTACTGTATGTCACTAGTGGGCCTAGTAAATGTACTGTTAATCCCCGTCATTTGGTTACGTACATTTTTGTTAATGCATGTATTAATTAGTGGAAACGTTGTTTGCAGAGTTCACAACCTGCTACACTTGTGAGCAAGTTTTGGTTTATTTCATAACCATCGAGTTTAGTAAACATTTTTCATTGTCTTTTGTTTGGAGTGCTCCATTGTGAGCAATGAGCATGTGTCTGGTTTCTCTGTCCGGATGATGTTGAGCGAGCGCGCGCCTGAGCATAGAAGTAGGCCTACCTGGCCTGCTGCCCGCAAATGTAGGAAAGTGCCCATTTCCACCACTAATAAGCTGTGCTTCTGTCATTTTTTTCTTCACCTCTAACAGTAAGTCTGCTTATTATGAACTGATGATCCCATATATCCAGTGGAAACATCATTAAAAAACGTATATTTGTCCTGAGCTCTGGAAACTCTTGAGGGCACGGAATAGGCTAGTTGATACAATGTTACACTTCACTCTTGATAGCTCAAGACAGATAGAAAGGGAGGCAGACAGGCGGAGTAGAGAGATTAATACGATTGAAAGAACCTGAAATTTCATCAGGATATTTCTTTAACGTTTTTATTTGTCTGCTTTAGGCCTATGTATTTTACTTAGTTGACGATGGAAGTTCTAGGCCTACTGGTGCATTGGCCTGTAGGCTATCTGAATTCCATGCGCTCCTTTCTTTAGCCGCCAATGGATCACGGTGCATCTGTGTCCATATGGCAGAGGCTGGTGCTCTTGCATTAGTTTAATTATAACTTTTAGATTATCATTTTAATTCAGATTTAGGAATTAACCACGTGACAATTATTTTGAGAAACAAAATGTTATTATTGAAATGAATTAGTAAGTAGCCTATCTTTTTGGTAGAGACAGCACGGCTCGCCTTGCGCCCTCCAACAGTCAAACAAATGCTGAGATTTTTTGATTTTTCATGAAGGTAACGCAATGTAATATAACATGTTACTTTCCACACAAAGTCATATTGTAAAGTAACGTGTCACTTTTGTTAAATACAATGTATAATATGTAATTTATTACTTTTCCAATTAACTAACACTCCAGTCTCCTTTTCACCTCTTAACATCTGATTTACTTAACAAAAGGCACATCTCAATAGGTGGGTCCAGCGTTCATCATGACATGGCAGGGTGGGGTTTCCTCTTTTGTTCTCTATTCCACAAGCAAGGGGGGAGGCTGATGACATCACAAATTCCTATCAGACCAACTCCTTCAATGCCCTACTCCTTGAAGTTTGCAGTTTAAAAAACACTATTTTTCTCAACATATATATATATATATGTATGTATGTATGTATGTATGTATGTATGTATGTATGTATGTATGTATGTATGTATGTATGTATGTATGTATGTATGTGTGTGTGTGTGTGTGTGTGTGTGTGTGTGTGTGTGTGTGTGTGTGTGTGTGTGTGTGTGTGTGATATATAATATACACAAACACACAGTGGGGAGAACAAGTATTTGATACACTGCCGATTTTGCAGGTTTTCCTACTTACAAAGCATGTAGAGGTCTGTAATTTTTATCATATTCAACTGTGAGAGACGGAATCTAAAACAAAAATCCAGAAAATCACATTGTATGATTTTTAAGTAATTAATTTGCATTTTATTGCATGACATAAGTATTTGATACATCAGAAAAGCAGAACTTAATATTTGGTACAGAAACCTTTGTTTGCAATTTCAGAGATCATACGTTTCCTGTAGGTCTTGACCAGGTTTGCACACACTGCAGCAGGGATTTTGGCCCACTCCTCCATACAAAACCTTCAGGTTTCGGGGCTGTCGCTGGGCAATACGGACTTTCAGCTCCCTCCAAAGATTTTCTATTGGGTTCAGGTCTGGAGACTGGCTAGGCCACTCCAGGACCTTGAGATGCTTCTTACGGAGCCACTCCTTAGTTGCCCTGGCTGTGTGTTTCGGGTCGTTGTCATGCTGGAAGACCCAGCCACGACCCATCTTCAATGCTCTTACTGAGGGAAGGAGGTTGTTGGCCAAGATCTCGCGATACATGGCCCCATCCATCCTCCCCTCAATACGGTGCAGTCGTCCTGTCCCCTTTGCAGAAATGCATCCCCAAAGAATGATGTTTCCACCTCCATGCTTCACGGTTGGGATGGTGTTCTTGGGGTTGTACTCATCCTTCTTCTTCCTCCAAACACGGCGAGTGGAGTTTAGACCAAAAAGCTATATTTTTGTCTCATCAGACCACATGACCTTCTCCCATCCCTCCTCTGGATCATCCAGATGGTCATTGGCAAACTTCAGACGGGCCTGGACATGCGCTGGTTTGAGCAGGGGGACCTTGCGTGCGCTGCAGGATTTTAATCCATGACGGCGTAGTGTGTTACTAATGGTTTTCTTTGAGACTGTGGTCCCAGCTCTCTTCAGGTCATTGACCAGGTCCTGCCGTGTAGTTCTGGGCTGATCCCTCACCTTCCTCATGATCATTGATGCCCCACGAGGTGAGATCTTGCATGGAGCCCCAGACCGAGGGTGATTGACCGTCATCTTGAACTTCTTCCATTTTCTAATAATTGCGGCAACAGTTGTTGCCTTCTCACCAAGCTGCTTGCCTATTGTCCTGTAGCCCATCCCAGCCTTGTGCAGGTCTACAATTTTATCCCTGATGTCCTTACACAGCTCTCTGGTCTTGGCCATTGTGGAGAGGTTGGAGTCTGTTTGATTGAGTGTGTGGACAGGTGTCTTTTATACAGGTAACGAGTTCAAACAGGTGCAGGTAATACAGGTAATGAGTGGAGAACAGGAGGGCTTCTTAAAGAAAAACTAACAGGTCTGTGAGAGCCGGAATTCTTACTGGTTGGTAGGTGATCAAATACTTATGTCATGCAAGAAAATGCAAATTAATTACTTAAAAATCATACAATGTGATTTTCTGGATTTTTGTTTTAGATTCCGTCTCTCACAGTTGAATATGATACAAATTACAGACCTCTACATGCTTTGTAAGTAGGAAAACCTGCAAAATTGGCAGTGTATCAAATACTTGTTCTCCCCACTGTATATGTATGCATACCCATGGGGCGGCGCACAATTGGCCCAGCGTCGTCCAGGATAGGGGAGGGAATGGCCGGCAGGGATGTAGCTCAGTTGGTTGAGCATGGCGTTTGCAACGCCAGGGTTGTGGGTTCAATTCCCACGGGGGGCCAGTAAAAAAAAAAATATATATAAAAAAGAATAATGTATGCACTCACTAACTGTAAGTCGCTCTGGATAAGAGCGTCTGCTAAATGACTAAAATGTAAATGTACTTTACTGTATTTATACTTGGAATATTTATTTTCAGCAGGATAAGTTCAAAAATCACTGGAGGACGTCTAAGGCCCCTATTTACATTGACCAGCTTGAGAGGCCCCTATTCAGTGTTTGCCATTAGCACCGGCCAGTCGGTTAGACTCATTTTCAACCCACTACTTTTTCCACTTCATTAACTAAGCTACTTGTCATTTAAAAGTTTAAATTCACTAGTTCGTCGAGCCCTGTCCCGCTAGAATGAACAATATGCATATTCTAGCGATCTATTAATAGGATAGGCGCCTGTCAGTCACAAAGCGAGCGACTGAACAGCACGTGTTGACTAGTTTATCAAAGGTGTCGAACTGACTGAATAAAGTCGATCTATATCCCTTTGCCATTTATAAATCATATAACGTGGTTATATTTACATGGTATCGCATCGGGACAAGTAAAACAAAAGATTACCTAGGTTTCCATTCGTAGGATGTCGGGGCTTGCCAAAAGTGAGTGACTTGTCAGTCAGTGTATACTACCGAATCGCATCGGTGAGAGCCGTTCATTTGGCTCCCTAATTTGCATAGGTTATTGGTAGGCCTAGGCTTTTTGGCAATTATCTGCAGATACATTATGAAAACATTTGATGAAGATGGTGAATCATCACCGCAGCAATAGGTAGTGGGGAGCCTCATTCTGGTCCAAATATGATAATTAGGGCCCTCATGGAATCCAGGCATTAAAACGGAATTCAACAATATTCAGAAATGTATTGACCTTAGGAAAGAATCAACTAAATGTATTGATTCAAATCATCAAAGATGATGATTAGTCGATAATTTGAGTCAGCTCTCTAGTGCTAGGGAAAAAACAAAAATGTGCACCCCTTTGGGTCCCCAGGACTAGGGTTACAAAACAGTGATTTGACCTTTTTAAATTGATTTTTTAAGATAATGTGAGCTATTTACTTAATCTTTCTGTTTTTAATAAAATATGTAATTTGAAGAACAAACATCGTTCTGGCAATTCATATCTTGCAGTAAAACCGATAATACAACTTTAATCTCAAGACGCAAAATGTTTCAAGTTTAATGTTCCCTTACTTAGAAAATAGTCCTGATATCCAACTAACAAACTGAATTCCTACATTTTATGTAATTTAAATTGTGAAATAGCCTTTCTACACAATACAACACATTTTTCCATCTGGGAGGTAAACTCAATAGTTTTCAATAATTTTGCTGTGTATTTCAGATGGAATCAAGGCATTAGAATGTACCAGAGGCCACCAAAATGGAGCACCTTCGAGAGGCACCTGGCTGGCTAGTTTTTATATTTGGCTGGCTAAAACACTGCCTATTTATCCTGACCAGCCTGTTTTCAGTTTACTGTATGTTCCTGTGTGTGTGTGAGAATATAGAGTATGTTTGTCTCATTGTTGTGTATCACGTGTATGTGATTTCCTAACACACTTCTCTTCCTCTCTTCAGTCGGGCCAGGGAGGCCCCCAGTCCATGTACCACTCTGGGCCCCTGCCAGCGCCCACACCCCCTAACATGCCCCCTGGCCACAGCTCTCCCCAGGCCTCTTACCCCATGCAGGGCTACAGCCTGCCCACCCACCAGCCCATGGCCCAACACTACCCAGGTCTGGGACAGCTCACACAGGTAATAAACACCAGGCTACTCTGGACCCACAGCCCACATACTCTCTCCTCTCTCTCTCTCTGGAGAGTTGAATGTAACAGATCTAAGCGAACAATGATACTAAGTCAAACAATAATGTGACAATATCAGATGTAGCACAAGTCAGAAGTCTTATTTGTTTCAATTACGTAAGGCTGATACAAGCTTCACTCCGTTGATCTACGCGTGTGGGTGGAGTCAGATTTTTGGGGAGCAGTGGAAACCTGTTGGTAACGTGATGCCCTCACCAGTCCGTGTTTCCTAGACTGCCATTCACAAGTCTTCTCATTTGTGGTGAGAGTTACGTTCGTCTTCCCTTGCTAATAGTAACTAGCTGGCTTTAACCTGGCTAAAAACAGTACGCTAGCTAGCCTTTTTAGCTTACCACATCTCCTTGTGAAATAATCAGATTTGTAGTTAAATATAATGTGCCATGGCAAATATTGTTATACTTGCCAGTGTAACCTACAACAGTATCTCAATTTGATATGGTCCTTCAATGTATTTGCTCCCATATCAGCTGAAAATAGTGTAATATCACGGAGAAAAAGCTGTTTTTACTGTTTCAAAATAGCCTGGAATCACAGTTATTACCTCAACAAAATACCTTTTTGTGGGGATTCTAATAAGGCAACAATGTTTGGTTTTGTTTAAACAGGTGCTGAGATTATAGTTGGTTATCAATGCAAAATGCTACTTTGCATAGCCTATGTAGATCAGATCAAGGAACCAAGCAACAGCTTCATTGTCTACACAACACAGAACTTTAAGCCCGAGCCCTACCCATGCCTGCGACGTTCATGCCCTACCCTACCCAGGCCGATTGCTTCTGCCAAATGTAAGGCCCTGCCCAAAATAACTTCCTCTATTAGTAAATCCATTAGCTGCTCTTGTCACTCGCTCCCTGCGCGCAGCTCGCTCTAAGTCTGGGTATCGATAGCTACGTCTCAGCTGGGGCTGCTCTGCTCAATGACGAGACATGAGAGAGCAGTTAGCCACTTTTGGTCACGCTAAACTCTTGACAGCTCAAGGAACATTATATTCTGTGAAATAATCTCTCCTGTCTTTATATTTGATGTTGTAGCACTTCTGACACCATGCATGTCATGATTGTCGTGGTCCTCTGTAGCTCAATTGGTAGAGCATGGCGCTTGTAACGCCAGGGTAGTGGGTTCCATCCCTGGGACCACCCATACGTAAACATGTATGCGCACATGACTGTATGTCGCTTTGGATAAAAGCGTCTGCTAAATGGCATATTATTATTTATTATTATGATCTTAGTCAGGCCTGTTGGGGTTGGTTAGAAGTGCTCTATTAACTTCTTAAGGATTGGACCCTTTTTTCAATTTTCGCCTAAAATGACATACACAAATCTAACTGCCTGTAGCTCAGGACCTGAAGCAAGGATATGCATATTCTTGATACCGTTTGAAAGGAAACACTTTGAAGTTTGTGGAAATGCGAAATTAATGTAGGAGAATATAACATTAGATCTGGTAAAGATAATACAAACAAAAAACATGCGTTTTTTTATAATCTTTGAAATGCAAGGGAAAGGCCATAATATAATATTGCAGTTTAGGCGCAATTTAGATTTTGGCCAATAGATGGCAGCAGTGTGTGTGCAAAGTTTCAGATTGATCCAGTGAAGCATTGCAATACTGGACTATTTTGTATCAAGTCTGCCCAAATGTGCCGAATTAGTCAATTGATACATTTTCAAGTACATAACTATAGAGAACATACAAAAATGATATGGTAATACAAAATTTAAGTTTACACACTCCCAGGAATGTCATACATGATGGAGCATTAGCTTATACACTAACTTTCACACATCTAGAAGACTGGGCGGGGTGGGTGTGGAGCCAGAGACCGCATGGGTTCAAACTGTAGAACCCAGTTCCTACATTTTCAATATAAAAAACATTTATTTTATCAAACAAAATGATGCTACATTTTATCTCTGGGACCCTTAGGATGAAAAATCAGAGCAAGATTACTGAATATAAGTACATTATTTACCTTCAGAGGTGAATGTATCAAACCAGTTGCCGTGATACGTTTTTTTGTTGTTGTGCACTCTCCTCAAACAATAGCATGGTATTTTTTCACTGTAATAGTTACTGTAAATTGGACAGTGCAGTTAGATTAACAAGAATTTCAAGATTTCTGCCCATATGACATGTCTATGTCCTGGGAAGTTTGCTGTTACTTACAACAGTCATGCTTATCACATTAGCGCACATTAGCTCAATCGTCCCGTATATGGGACACCGATCCCGTAGAGGTTAACACTGCCCCCACAATGAACTCTTCGTAGTCAGATTTGGAGCTGCGCCATAGTCGCCAGCAATGAAGGTAGGACTACGTTCTACAAGGAGCCACCCATTTTGTGAATTAAAACAACATTTACGTACAGCGTTGCGCTCAATCTTTCCATCTCCGTAGTCTGTAGACCACTAGTCTTGAATTAAATATGGTTGTTAGAAAGGGATGACACCATCTCGCCCCCTCTCGCCCCAGGCCCACGTTGCCCAAGGTATGTCTGGCCCCCACCACCAAGGAGGCCACGGCCCGCCCCAGATGATGCTGCACTACGCCCCGCCCCCACAGCAAGGCCCAGGCTCCTCCCAGCAGCACGGCCCTCCTCCCCAGCAGGGGGCGCACCAACACTACTACATCCAACACCCACAGGGTAAGTAACTTCAAGTAATGCAGCTACACATCTCCAATAGAAATTAGCTTTACATTTCCAGATCTTCATCAGTGACTGTTGTTCTGTGTTCTAGCAGTACAGGTGCAGGCTCACCCCACCCAGCAGCTCTCCTTCCACCCCCCTGGAAACTGACACCCCTACCTACACCTAGAGGACCACAGAAGAAGCAGGAGACAGAGGATGGGAGGGGAGCTGAGGACAGCAAGCTGAGGCCCCCAGTCCCTACCTGAGTCTTCATGACTGACCCAATCCCATTGAGGGACACAATCAAGTTGTTCTCTGATCGTCTGAGAACTGAAGCCCCCTTCTGGAACTACAGCCGCCACATTTCCCCCTCCTCTCGCCCACAAAATAAGCAACTTGTTTTTTTCCCAGTTTTTTACCCAGAGTTCTTTTAGTTAAAGAGGGAGCGAGAGAATAAGAGAAAGAGCCCGTCAAAGGCTCCCGTTCTGCTACTCTGTTTGGGACGGAGAAAAAAATAATTTACTTTGTTTTTATGAAAGCCTAGAAAGACAGTCATCCTCGCTAGCTGGTTCCATTTTTAAGTTGAGAGGATTGACATGGCAAAATAATCGTCTCACAGTAGACTGAAGCGACTCTGCAGAGAGTTATAGGACTTATCACAATGAAACTTGCTCCCTTTTAACCCCTACCTACTTCCCTTTACCTCCTCCCCATCTCCCTTTCTCATTTTACAGGTAACATTAATAAATAAACTATTAAAATACCAAAAAAATGGAAAAATCATACAAAAATAAAGTTTTAAACTCAACCTCAAATGCTGCCAGAACTCTTATTTTCTGTGCAAGAGCAAAGGTGAAATTGAGAAGGAATCTTGTTCATTTAGATTTATTTAAAGGTATAAACACAAGCATTTTGGTGAATGATCAGTATACTGATTTTACCATGAAAATAACTGATTTGAACCACTAATCTTTAATAGTACTCTATGCCACCCATGGCGCATCTCCCAATCTTGCTAAAATCATTAATATCAGCTTGTTATAACACAATATTGGCTACAATGCATTCAGAAAACATCACACATAAATGGTTCATAAGCCCTATTCGCACGTCGGCTATGTGATTATTACCCCAGCATGTCCGTTTTTCCAGTGGACGATTCGGATGGGATTAGTTTTACCAAACTGCCCCTAATTTTTTTTTTTGGGGGTGGGGGTCATTCAAAATTTGCTGTTATGGCGGAAGCCTGGAGGCTCTTCTGGGCATGAAGATATTGGAAATATCTAGGGATAGCCAAATATTGACCTAATGGCCTTCAGTTCGGAGAAAGACTAAATAATAATGCATATCAATAAGATCCATGAACTGTAACCTATGCAGACATTTAATTACCAGACATATTTGGCTATTTATTTGACCTTACAGCCCTGAGCAGTCAGCCGCGTCTTTAGCTGCAGCGTTAAATGACCCAGTACTCTTTTAAAAGAGAAGTATGGCACTAGGAAAGTTGATATGTGACAAAAGAGAATCTGTGGGCTACGTGCATAGCACTTTGTTTTAAGCATTAACATCCCATGTTCTTACCCAAACTGGGTGCAGCACCTGTTAAACTCAGTAATATCCCTCAAAACACAGGGATGACAATTCGCACGGGATAAGTATTATCAGATGACCTGGGAGTTTGCTGAAAAACATTAGGTTTTTAGGTCTGGGATAATAATAAAGTATTACTGACATGGCAGGGACGGGACAAAAATGACGGATGTGGTGATTTGGGCTCGTGAACATTACCTGAGCTCCCCCAGTAAAATGTATCCTGTCCGAATAGAGCTATAGATTATGGCAAAGCATTTCTTATATTGTGACAAAAGTAACTTGAACAACTATTAAACCAGATTTGAAAGTAGTTAACATGTTGCCTCCACAGTAAAAAGATAAATACAGCTAAGATAAGATGAGTAAACTAGAACGGAAATTCTCAGGAGTCGTCAGCAAATCCATACATTGTAAACAGTAATGCCGCAGTCTTCGGCATGTCTACGGTGTCGACATAGGTTCAAATCCGGCCTACTGCCCTTCGACACAACCTCTCTTTCCCCACTGTCATCCTTTCTCTCTTCAATAGTCAGGAAAGAGCTTAAAAGTATATTTTCAAAAACAAACATGTAATTATGGTTATAGCTGGTAGCTCACACTCAAGCAGCTGGGGCACCAAGAGATGTGTTCCAAGGCATTTGCCCTACACCACACAAGCCAAAAATCTTAGAAAGCCTTAATTGTTACCGCATAGTTTGGAGAGCGAGAGAGACATTTTACATTACATTTGACATTTTAGTCATTTAGCAGACGCTCTTATCCAGAGCGACTTACAGTTATTTTTTATTTTATTTTTCATACTGGCCCCCCAGAGACGGCTGGTGGATGAGAATAAAGTATTTGAAATGTTTCATCAGCCACAGCAGTGAGTTGCACAGTGCTCGTCCATACTGCAGAACCCCTATGTAGATGTTAGCTACGCTATGTAGTCTTCCCTTTGACCGAAACTTAGTTGCACTCATGATATAAATCCAGCAGTCGATTGACTCGTCAATTCCCTCCCAGTCAGAATATGCTACATGATGGGGATGCTTCACATATCTAAGAGAAAGAAAAACTTGGTACTAACTTTTATTTATTTGTTATGTTGAGTTTCAGAATAGTATCACCCACCTGCTAGGTTATTAGATGGTGTAGCAGTTTAAAGTGGAACAGACAGCGTTTTAGCAACATTACATCTTATTCAAATCTATTCATATACACCCCCAGGAATAATAACACTTAATTATTATTTTTGAACATTTTCTGACAAGGGAGCACTTAGTCGTTTTCATAAAATCATAGAATGTTTGGGAATGACATAGTAAGGCATTTGTGAAAATTGTATAGCAATATAGTGGGAAAGCAGCCTTAAAACCTAATATTAACATCTGTCCTGTCCAGACCAGAGTCTATGCAGACCGGTGCGCCATAGCCAATCAGAGCTACGGTAAGCCTTTATGCAAACTAGCCATTTGTCACACGGGCCTGCCATCATTCACTTTGAACTGGGCTGAGTGTTTACAGGCAGTTGCAACAGTGTGCCTTTTGATAATTAGAACGCATTTGCCAAAATACACCTGAATGGATTTCTGCAAATATGTAAATACCACAGGAGTCCTCTTTACATTTGGGAACTATTGATGAAACAACCATGAAAATGTAGGCGCTCACCCTCAGTTGCCTATGCACATCAACAAGATCAACAACTAATACTAGCAAGAGCGACTTACAGTTACTGAGTGCATACATTATTATTTTTCTCATACTGGCCCCCCGTGGGAATCGAACCCACAACCCTGGCGTTGCAAGCGCCATGCTCTACCAACTGAGCTACACGGGGCCCTAATTATCTATTCATAGTCACTTTACCCGTACCTACATGTACAAATTACCTCAACTAACCTGTACCCCCGCACAATGACTCGGTACTGGTACCTCCTGTATATAGCCTGGTTATTGTTATTTTATTGTTACTTTTTATTTTATTTTTTACTTTAGTTTATTCAGTAAATATTTTCTTAACTCTATTGAACTCTATTGAACTGCATTGTTGGTTAAAGGCTTGTAAGTAAGGATTTCACGGTAAGGTCTATACCTGTTCTATTCGGCGCATGTGACAAATACAATTAGATTTGATAATACGCTCTGACCCTAATGACAAAAGTATTTAATAACTTCAAAAAAAACATTCATTTTTTTGCACTGCATGGATCACCAGTGCGGTTGAATGCAGCATTGCTGTATGGTGCACTCAACATGTATTGTAGTTGAGTATACTCGATAAAGTAGTTAATTTGACTAATAATCATAAGAAACAAGATTATATCAATTTCCTCATTCTCTGTCCGGTTGTCGCATAAAGATGTATAGAGATCGCAGCGTTGTATCCGTCTCATTATGGTATCTGTGAGCGCATGGTCAGCGCCATTCAAATTGTATTGGTCGCATACACATATTTAGCAGACGTTATTGCGGGTGTAGCAAAATGCTTGTATTTGAGACAGATACTACGTTGTGATCTGCTGGCTACTATATTGGGAGACTTCCAGCAATTGTGCTAAACTAACGATATGCTAACTTCAATCATCTCCAATCTGCAAACAGAGACATACAATTTGTATTCATGAGTTCATCTGACTCTGGGTAAGTAGAAAAATGACCTAAATCTCGCATTATCCCATTAAAAGGTAATACACCATAACAGGGTTGGGGTCCATTTCAATAAATTGAAGGATGTTAAAGGGATAGTTCACTTTTTTTACACCTTATAGTCAGATGGCTAACAAAAAAACTGTGGTGATGGTGGCATTTAGTCAGTTCAATGTGTGGCCAAATCCCCTCAAGTTAATAGTGGCTATTTAAACAACTCTAAATCATGGACTACTTTCAGGGTAAGGAACAATCTGACTGACTATAGGTTGTAAAAAAAAGTGAACTATACCTTAATTGAATTTGCAAATTGGGCATTATTGGTCAAGGATTTTTATTAAGCTGAATTTGATAAGCTTTTCAAAGTAATTTTATGTCCCCAAACCCAACTGTTTTATGTGCTTTCCCTCCACAGAAGCTGTCATGAAGCGCTTCCCGGGTGCAACAAAGGGACAATTGGGAACGGCTTAAAACAGTAAAATGGCTGAATTGAGAAGCGATTAAAGAAAATGAATAGGATTAAATTCAGTTCAGTGTTTTGTGTCGTTTGTTCCATTACCATGACTACAAGTATCACTGAAATAATGCTCCTGTAACATATGTTAACATGTATTGTGAAATATAGAGGACATACAGTACCAGTCAAAAGTTTGGACACACCTACTCATTCAAGGGTTTTTCTTTATTTTTACTATTTTCTACATTGTAGAATAATAGTGAAGACATCAAAACTATGAAATAACACATATGGAATCATGTGGTAACCAAAAAAGTGTTAAACAAATCAAAATATATTTGAGATTCTTCAAAGTAGCCACCCTTTGCCTTGATGACAGCTTTGCACACTCTTGGCATTCTGTCAACCAGCTTCACCTGGAATGCTTTTCCAACAGTCTTGAAGGAGTTCCCACATATGCTGAGCACTTGTTGGCTGCTTTTCCTTCACGCTGTGGTCCAACTCATCCCAAACCATCTCAATTGGGTTGAGGTCGGGTGATTGTGGAGGCCAGGTCATCTGATGCAGCACTCCATCACTCTCCTTGGTCAAATAGCCCTTACACAGCCTGGAGGTGTGTTTTGGGTCATTGTCTTGTTGAAAAACAAATGATAGTCCCACTAAGCGCAAACCAGATGGGATGGTGTATCGCTGCAGAATGCTGTGGTAGCCATGCTGGTTAAGTATGCCTTGAATTCTAAATAAATCACAGCGTCACCAGCAAAGCACACCTCCTTCATGCTTCACGGTGGGAACCACACATGCGGAGATCATCCGTTCACCTGCTCTGCGTCTCACAAAGCCACGGCGGTTGGAATCAAAAATCTCTAATTTGGACTCATCAGACCTAAGGACAGATTTCCACCGGTCTAATGTCCATTGCTCGTGTTTCTTGGCCCAAGCAAGTCTCTTCTTATTGGTGTCCTTTAGTAGTGGTTTCTTTGCAGCAATTTGACCATGAAGGCCTGATTTACTCAGTCTCCTCTGAACATTTGCTGTTGAGATGTGTCTAACTTGAACTCTGTGAAGCATTTATTTGGGCTGCAATTTGAGGTGCAGTTAACTCTAATGAACTTATCCTCTGCAGCAGAG